GCGTGGAACTGCAGAACGGCTTCCCGCTGCTCGGGGCAGCCGTGCCAAGCTCTCCGCTTCGTCCGCGTCCACTGCCACAGCATCCGCACGTACCACGGCACATCCAGGTAGATGCACAGGAAGGCCACCACAGCCACCAGCACCAGCGTCAGCAGCAGAGCTGTCACGAGCAGCAGAGTGGTGTTGCAGGCCAGCTCGGTCAGGTGGAAGTCCTTCAGCTGCGTGCCGCTCAGGTCTTCTGGGTACTTGCACACGTACGCCTCTGGCCAGCCGGACAGCTTGCCCCCAGACCGCCTTTCCAGGCGCAGGAAGTCCTGCAGCTCACACGAACACTTGAACGGGTTTTGCCCAGCTTGCAGCTCCTTCACGCTCAGGCAGCTCTCCAAGAAGTCGGCACTTGGCGTGAGGATCAAATTCCTCTCTACGTTCAGGATCTCCAGGCCCGCAAAGGCCCTGCACCCTGGCAGGTCGGCCAGCCTGTTGGATGCCAGGTTCAGCTCCTTCAAGGACTGCAGCTCAGCAATCCCCTTGGGGACGCTGGCAATCTGGTTGTTTTGTAGGTCCAGTTTGCTGATACGAACGGGCAAGCACTCAAACACGGACTCTGTCAGCTGGTTGGAGGACAGGTCCAGCTCTGACAGAGAATCAGTCCACTGGCAGCGCTTCTCAGCTCCACTGTTACGCAGCAAGTTGCTGCTCACGTCCAGATACCTCAGTGATTTCATATGGCTGGTCATGAAGCTCACCTTGGAAAGGCTCTTAAATTTATTCCTATTCAAAATAAGTAATTTTAAATTTGTCAGAGTGTCACAATTCTGGAACAATTCATCTGTCAGGGCATTGCGGGAAAAATTTATATACTGAAATGAGCTTGTTTTTTGGGGGCAAAGCATGTGTGGCATACATGCATCATGTATTGTCAAATTATCAATATTCAACTCTGAAAACAATCTGTACACAATCTCCTGGTTGAAATAGTACAACTTATTTCGAACACGCTCCAAAGTTAGTGCTTTCATGGAGCCACCCAAAGAAAGAAATTGTTCCAGAGGTCTTAAATAGGATACAAATTTATATTCAGTGAACTCTACCACTGGTCCCCGAAAAATCAAATTTCTCACAGTTAAGTGCTCCACAGTTGAGTCCCAAACTAGCAGAAAAATTTGCAGAATGACTGTCCATTCTAAGTCCACAGCATCAAGCATTAGCTCTGTTGCTTTGATGTTCTTCAGAAGCTCTAAAGAAGGGGAGGGAAAATCTTTGTGGCCCAAGGTGTATATTAAATTAAATATTTTTAAGTTCTCTGCAGTGCTCATTCCATCATATAAGAGGGAAAAGTTGAAGTTTTGGTCTGCTGCAAAAACAATGTGAAGGTTCCTTGTATTTAAAGCCGTTAAACTTAGAGGCTCATACAGAGAAAAGTCTTCTAAGGTTAGGAAGACAGTGTTCAGCTGCAAATGTGTCACATATCTGAAGTCTGACCTTCGTATCATCGTGGCACTTAATCCTAGGTATTCCAAATGAAACATGATCTCAAATTCCTGACAGATTGGCAAGACAGTGAACTTGTTGAAAGAAAGATCTAAGTGTCTAAGACGTGTGAGCGTTTGACAGTAAGCTGTCCAAATGTTATTGTGAGATAAATCTAAGTATTCTAAATCTTGATTAAATATGAAGACACTGAAGTCAAGCTCTGTAATCAGATTATGAGAAAGATTTACTACTTGAAGGTCAGGAAGAGAAATAAATTCCAAGTTAGTAATTTCAGAGATCCTATTATGTGATAAATCTAATACATGAGTATGGACTGGAATGTTTTTTGGAACTTTAGTTAGTAGATGTCCTGAATAGTTTGCAGTGATTTTATTTTCCACAGTTGACTGGATATTATTCCAAAATATGGATAAAAACACACAAGCAAAGACATAGATACTTGTAAGAAATCCCATTATGTGTCTCAGAATTTTCTTGGTTCTTCAGAGAAACGCAAAAGCATGTATGTTTTCTGTTCAATATGCCTCAGTAAGGAGTCCAACCTATGAGAAGAAAATATATAGATTTTCCTGAATTTTTTGAATTGTAATAAACAATTAATTCAACTAAAATAAAATATAATACAAAAACTACATAATTAAAAATATTTTTGCATATTTTCTCTAAGACATTACCAAAAAAAATATCAAAAATTCCAGTTATTGATCTTCTGAGTTAAGTAGAGACAAATTTTTATATAATGGTAGGAGAACTATTGGTGGTATGTCTGAACAGTACAGAGATGTTAAAGAATTTCTCAATTATCTTCAGAAATTATACAAATAGATATCAATATGGAGACCTTTACATGACCTTTAAAGGTCCCCTCCAACTCTAAGGATTCTTTGATTTTGTAATATATTTGGGAGTAAAGGAGAACATAGCAAGCCTCGCATGTGCTTTTTCCCTGTGCTCTGTGTCCAGACACACTTGGGGCAAACCTTCAAAAGTCCCATTGACTCCCACAGGAACCAGTGCAAAAGAAACATCTTTCCTCAAAAGAGAAAAAGGATATTCTTCACATCCCATGAGCTAAGATACGGCCATGCAAACCCTCAAAGAAACACCCCAATGAAACACAAAGACGTGTCTTTTTTTTCAGTAAGCCAAGAAGCTTGAGGAATTTTACCGTAATTTATGTGAATAAGGTAATGCCAGTGTATCTGAAAGCATACTAACAGGAAAGATACAGCATACCTGAAGACTCCCTATAAAGATTCCTTCAAAGGATTCCAAGATTTCATAGTGTCCTAAGAAATTTCCTCCATTTTTCAAACTATCCCATAGTTGACAACGAAACAGAGTCTCTTCAGGGGCTCTCATCTAGGATGAGAGACAATGATTCTAGTTCTAAAGATCAAACAGACCAGGGAGGAACATTTTTGTGGCTATGGAAAACGGTCCAGTGGAATGAATAAATGGTCAAGCCTATCAACAATCTACAAAGATGGAAAGGCATCAGTCATATTATGAAAAAATATGCGCTGGGCATTACTCTTGTGTCAAGACAGGATGATACAGAAAACACAGATGCAATAGGCAGACACCCAGAAGTACGAATGACTGAAACTCTTTCAGGAGGGAAAATGTCTTGTTTTTTTTCCTCCAATAGTTTTATTTAGGGAAAAAAAAAAAGGTTTTTAAATTATTCCCCTAGGCAATTAGGTAATATTTTATTAATAAAAACTAAATGTTCATTCTTTTATTTTTAGTTCTAGGTGTTGGTCGCTAATAACTTGTTTGCCTGATATCAAAAGTCATTCCTTCCCTTTTGAATCTCCTGCAAAGCTTCATCAAATTTTCTTTCAGAAAACTAAAGCAAAAAGATATGTAATTAACTTCACCAGGAGCACTAAAATAATGAATCATTGAAGTGTAAAGCTACCTCTACAAAATCCATGTAAAATTCAATTGAGAAGCTGAATTCAGTCTTCAGAAAGCTGTGCTAGGGTATCTGACCACAGAGATCTTAAATGAAGCTGAACTTGTCGGCCAAAGTACAATATAACTTAGAAGAAGAACCAAGACAAGGACCCAGATTTCTTCAAAGAGTAGCTGATCTTGTTCGTCAGAGTCCAGGCTGGCAAAAAACTTCTCGAATCAAAGAAACTTTGGGGAGCTGCTGAGTAAGGAAAAAAGCAAGATATTTTTCTGAAGAGAGAAAAAAAAAGGAAAACATCGTCTGGTCCATGCTCTGCTAGTAAGAGTTTAAATTTACAGTGTATACTTTTCTATACACTGCAAAAAAGGACAGCCCACACAGTATAACCCCAAAGTGTGCCAAACATAAAGAATAAAGCAGATTTGTCTGATGGAAAAATATTAAGATCAGCAGTAACCCATCCAACACTATTAAAGAATGGTATTGAATTAGAATTTGTTGAGAAACAAAATTGCCATACCAATTCTTTCTTTCTTCTATGTTGAAATTCAAGATAAAATTGAGCAATTTCACAGAAATTTCAAAAGGCAGAAGAAGCACGAGCACCTGAGATCTGGTAGATACCACAAGACATGTAACAAAAGAAAAGAAGTAAACAAAGCAGAGAATATCACCCACCTTTTATGGATTGAATTTATTTCTGAGTGAAGAGCCAGCAATTGCCTACTGCATACTCAGTTAACAACATCAAAACAGGTTTTCAAACATATGTAATCTTCAAGCTGGAGAATCTCACACAAGATGCTTGTCCCTTGACTGCTATGCCAGGAAATAAGAACAGGCTTTTATGTAGAGGCTGCATAATGCTAAGTAATAATAAAATTTCCCTGCAACGCAGGTATTAAGAGCATAATGAAAGGAAATTTTTAACAATCCAAACTCAAAGTACTTTTGCTTCTGCAACATTTAATTATCTGTATGGTTTAGGAGGAAATAAGTCTTTCTGCTGTTCTCCAAAGTAAGGTTATGTAAGTATTTCTGCATTTTTAACGTTGTCCATTTCTGTTGGTTACACAGCATATCAACTGCATCTCCTCTTTTGCATGCACAGAAAAGAGGAAGCAGAACTTTTACAGACAACTGCACTTCATATCAAAACCCTTGCCAGATCTCTACCCCTCTGAGTTGTTTCCCACAGCAGGCACATTAAGTATTGTTGCACATTAGCAGACTTAGAAGCCTAGACCTCAAAAAATATTGCTGGGTAAACCAACACAATTCAAAACTTTTACAGGTCAGTCACCTTTACATTCGATATGGCTTAGATGTTTAAACCAGGGAAACCCCACATCGTACTTTAATTCAAAAGTACTGTAAAAAAAAAAAAACAACACCACAAAAAAAACCTGCCAATGTGACAGCACAGGGGGACTACTGAATCACTGGCTGAACCTCTGCTTGAGCACCTGAGGTGAGCAATGAGTCAGCCCTGGGAGCGCAGGTGAAGGCAATTCTCCTGTGCTGCTGGAAGGGTGGAGCCTGGCTGCACCTCTCCTAGACCCTTTAGGGGCTTACTACTGAGGGGAGGGATCTCTTCTGAAGATCCGCTGTGCTGGAATTTCATAAGTGAGCCCAGGATATGGGTAAGCATCCTACCTTTTCTGCTTTGGTGTAATAGCTGTGCAGCTAAGCTCTCTGGTGTATCTCATAATTATAGCATCTGTACATTCATTGGTTGTACAAACATGAAAGCTGTAGGACAGTCATGAAGAATAAAGCAATAGAAGGCAATCTAGTGATGGAGAAATCCAATAGAGCAGTCATCCAATTAAAGGTTTGAAAAGGGGTGAGAGCCTAGTGAGCAAATCAACAGAGCAGAATCAGTCCTCTTCAGAGTCAGAATAACTGAAAACACACAATTCCCCTGAGACTCCAAACTAATTTAACATGCTTCAGTAAGATTAATTAGCAAGAAAGAAGCTGAGTAAAATAAATGAAGATTCATTTCATCTTAATGATTTTAAGATTAAATTCATGAAGTATGTAATGAATTCTTCAAGTATAAGCAAACCAGAGCATCGTGGCTGATTCTGGACTCAGTTTAGAGCTTATTCCCCACAATAAAACAGCACCTTGAAGAAGATTTAAATGCAAGAAGGCATTCAGCTGAAGAAAGCTGACAAGTATGAAAATTTATTCTAACAACTGGTGCCAGGTATACTTGAAGTTTGCAGTAGAATCCTTCTAAACTTGTCTTTTACAATTACCTTTTCAGTTTTATAAAGAAGAATGTAACCTTTTTGCTTTGCTAGAAGAAAATTTGTCTTTTATTTTAAGATTGGTGAGGACTGTTGTGCTGAAACCTGATGGCAGTAAAGCATTCTGCTGTCCCCAGTGCAGTGGATCTGAGTAACTCATTGCACGTAACACCCTGAGCCATCTGTTTCCCCAGACAAGACTGGAGATCATGAGTGCTTCTCAATAAGCAGCAAGAGTTTGATTGTCAGCTGATACTGTCTTTTCTTCATCTTAAAGGAGAAGTTGCCATTGGTGAACATTAAGAGATGAAAATGAATAGACTAAGGCTCTTGTTGACAGAGCATCATAATCCTAATCAAATTAAGAACAACATTCTGCAAACTAGTGCAGAATGCCAGTGTAATTACTGGCAGAAAAATCTTTGTTGTGTAAACAAAATCAAAAACATTGTCAGCTTTCTTCCAAATTTACTCCAGTATACACAAAGGTGCTAAAGGTACCTACATTTTTATTTGTAATATATTTAATTTCCTCTCCATCCTTCTCTATCAGACCTTAAGGTACATTTAAAACTGTCTTTAAATTAGAGAAATTTGTACCATAAGGAAAATTGTGGAAAGAGTTGTTAAAATAAAACCAACACTCCTAAATACTTCTGTTAATTCCTTAAGGGCAGTGCATGATGTTATTTTTCCTAATGCATTCAGGAAAGCTTTGTTTGAGGGTGGTTTCTGTTTACTGATTAAGTCATTTTACATGATATGAAAAGAAAGCAGTGTATTTCTGTCCATGCATTTTGACTGTAGCAGCTAAATACCATCCTTTGTCCTGAACATACCCTTACTCACACAGATATCTCATTGTATTTCTGAAGTTTATGCTGCTGCTATTTTCTGGTGTGTTTTTATTTTGTTTTTGTAACTGATATTACCAATGAGTAATCTTCCAACCAATCTTCCTCAAGGTGCATTTCACACTTCTGCCTATGTATTGTATTTGCTAAACTAGAGAGGAACAGCAGCTACACTCAGCTGGATTTCAGAGGCTACTTAGGATTGGTTCTGTCCCTGAATGATTGACAAATCTCTCCAATGGGAACAGCTAAAGGTAACTTGCAAAGCACTGAGTTAAAACATAGTCAAAGCAGTTGGAGTCATCCAAACATTTACTAAATGTTAATACAATTCTTAGAAGTTGTTAGTAGCTAGGTTGATGTCCATATCAAGGACCTTAATTTCAGTGGCAGCTCTTTCATTGTCATAACTTACTCCCATGTGTCATTTTGGCAAACTGAATGCTAATGCCACCGCAAGTCAAACTGTGATATTGGTGCATTTAATGCCCAAGCCTATGTTGTTTGGGCATAGACAGATACAAGGAACAAAGCATGGAAGTCAAACTGTGTTCCCCATAACAAAGATCCGCCTTGTAGAAAACAGAGCTTTCTCATTTATTGGTTTGTCAGTACTGCTTTCCCTCAAATAAGCAGTGACTGACTGAACATGATCATTACAGGAACTCTTGGTTAAGGTTGCTGAAAGGAAAAAAAAAAATAAATGTATTGACCTGAAACACTGAGTAAAAAAATTGGTTTTGGGATGGGCTTTAAACCTTCCATTCAGCAGAATGCCTCATATCCCATGGAATCCCCCTTTTCCCTCTCAAGCACTTTTCCTTGGTCTAATTTGCTGCAGTTGAGCTTCAGTGATGGTGCTTAGTAATGTTTCTAAGACAAAAAATAGCTGAGCTCTTAGCAGGGCAGCCCCCAAGTGCATCCTGACTTTCATTCTGTTGTGGTTTGGTTTGCCCTATACACACAAATTAAACATATGTAAAATCTTATTTGCTTCATTCTGCACACTTCCTGGGTTTTGAAGGGTGAAGTCCTATGTTATCAGTTCTCTCTGTTGATATTAATGTAATAATAGCAACAAATAAAATAGCATTCCCGCTAGTCACTGCGATGACTAGCCAAATGCCAGGAATCTGCTGATATGGTATCTGACATCAGAAAATATTTACATACACCCTTTTCTGATATGTGGAGTGCATTAGTTACAGCTTTCTGTGTAAAACCAGCCACAAATACACATAACTTATGTGCATGGAAAAGGGCAGTTAGCTCCCCAAATGCAAAGATATTAGCGCCAGCAGAGAGGGTGATGTGGGGTGTGAGGTCAACACATGGCCCTATGCATGTGAAAATATTCTTCTTGGACTGAAACTGTTTTTATATAAAGTTTTCAGAGTATGGCACAGGCTAAAATAATTGTTAGGAATATCCTGATATATCCCTAGGGAAATCTTCTCCGCTGCAGAACCTGAGAAGCTAGATGCAGCAATTCACAGCATGTGCAGCTGTTTTGCCAGTTATCTAACACACAGCACGGACAAGAGCATAACAGTATGAGAACTTCTGATTTCAAAGTACCAGATTTAATATTTCTCCACTCTTATCACAAGCCTCCTTTTCCAACACTATTCACTTGAGGATATAGGACATATATTACAGACGGTAATTACATATTTTGGTTTGATCACATCAGCTGTCTTGCCAGAGGTGTATCTAGTTCACAAGTTCTTTTCAAAATGGTAAGCAAACCCCAGCTAAAATCTTCCACTCCTAAAAGATATATTTTCCAACATCAGGTGTGTGCTCTCATCTGAGCAGCACGAAGGACTCCAAGCGCATTCTGCACTTTCCGAGGACATTCCCCCCTCTGCCAGCCAACAGAAGAAGCCAACTGAATTCTTGGTTTCAGTGACTGCTGACTGAAACTCTGAAGCTTTTGAAGCTGCAAACGAAATGGGCAAATCATACTAAGGCTGTTCATCTTCAGTTGCCTGAAGATTATATGGGTCATACACTGAAGCACTAGTTGGAGGGGATGGAGGATGTACAGAAAATATTTTGCTCCACATTCCTGAATGAAATGCTTGCAATTTGGTAGTAGATTTGTTGTATTAATTTTGAGGCTAAATGGAACAAGACATAAAAGCTTCAAATTTGGTCTTGCCCTACAAATCCTTAGAGAGTTGTTCATAGTTCTTGATTTCAAGCCAAGAGATCTCAGCCTGCTCAGACCTCATTAAAAAAGTCACAATTAAAATATTTTGCAAATAATAATTGAAGATGGAAGGTGATGAAAATGCAGACATTCAAAAAGGATTTCATTTCAACATATCTTTTTTCTAGGAAAGTTTTCTACGAAATTTTTTGGAAACTATAATTTCCTGGTATTTGATCATCTAAGTCTAATATTCAAGATGGCAAACGTTTGTCCTTCTAGGGACAAAGAGGAAACATGATGATCTTCAGCAGTTTTGAATGTTTGTTGGAATCCAGCTATGTTTTCTTGAAGACAAAACACCAAAAATACAGGTAAAGTGGCCTGCAATACTCCTATACAGGACAGCAACTTTGTTCTTCTGATTCCACATATAGAGGGTCTTATCAGTCGTCCCAATACATTGCAAATTTTTTCGGTCTCTGACAGGTTACTGCTTTTCTGATTAGGAAGGCATAGCTGTGCTGCAAAAGATACTGTTTCCACTGTAAACAACAGATTCTTAGAATCACGGAATCATCGATGTTGGAAAAGACCTTCAAGATCAAGTCCAAGTTTCAGCTTGACTTACCAAGTCCTGTGCAAAAACCATGTCCTTTAGAGCCTTTGTGGAGAAAAGAAGCAGATCACAGCCTGATCAGGCAAATAGCCCATGAGGAAGAGCTAATGTTAGCTCGAGAATACAAGTAAACTGCCTCTAGCTTCTGTATGCAGAAGAAACTTGTTTGTGAGAAACTGCTCCGTAGCTTTAACTAAGTCTCCCTGCTTCCTGTAAATGGCCTTGACTGTCCTGATATGTGATGCTTTATTGTCTCCAGACGTTAATACATATATGGCCATGGTAATAACGATGACTAGCAGACACCTTGCAAGACTGCTGCCACCAGTATCTACTGGGGGTAATCCCAGGGTGGACACTATTGGTTAGCCACAGTTGGTAATGATAACTTGGTGAAGACAGACTGTCCAACTGTCCCCAGTAATGTCTATTAAACTGATGAATGTTAACTTGCCTCTGTGTACACTGAGTCTTGCTGAATGGCATGAGATTAGACTCAGCTCATTGATTCAGCCTGTCTAGATCTCTCCACGCAGCTTTCCTAGCATGAAGCAGTATTACAATTCTGCCTAACTCAGTGTAATCTGTGAACGTGCTGAGGGTACACTCAATCCCCTCATCCAGATCACAGACAAAAACATGAAACAAAACTGGCCCTAACACTGAGCCCTGGGAATGCAACCGGTGAGCAGGCACCAAGTGGAATGAGCTCCAGTCACTGTGACCCTTGGAGCCTGGTCATCCAGCCAGATCTTCACCCAGCAAACCATGCTTCTGTCCAAGCCATGAGCAGCCAACCTCTCCAGAATACTCTGGGAAACAGTGTCAAACACTTCACTAAAATCCACGTAAAAATCACATCCACAGCCTTTCTCTCATCTACTACGCAGATCATCTCATCATAGAAGGAGATCACATTGTTGTGATAATACGCTTAAAATGAGATACATGTATGGGAAAAAAAAAAAGTATAAAGCTAAAGAAAAGGAGGAAGTAGAGAAGTCAAAAGTTTCTCAAGATGCAGCCATTGATAATGAAGGCAATTCTTGTGACACCCTCACAGTTTCCTTCATCAAGAGAACTCTTTGGATCAAGATGATACCAGGAGCCTGTCACAGCATGGGAATTACAACTCTGTCCAGTCACTATTACTTCTTGGCAGCAAACATGAAAAGGAAAACTAGCTCATCCATCTCTTTTCTTTTTAAGGAAAAAATCTCTCTTCTTTCCTCATCCAGTCCTCCTTTCTGACCGTGCCTGTCCCCTTGTGCTAGATATTCACAGTCCTACACCTGGGTCCCATGCTGTAAATTTCACAGTCTGAGAAAACATCACCCAGGAACCATTTCAAATGCTGAACTTCTAGACATCTTCACAGGATGCATAATTTTTCTCCTTGCAAATTAATTTTGATGTGAAGTCTTATGACCAAGATGTCAAAACTTTGTGATTAATGTAGAACTCCTAAGTCACCAGCAATTCAGGCACTCTTCTACATGACTGCTTCAGATTTCATTCTGTTGAGAGAACCAGTATTACAATATTTCAACGACGGTTTCAAAATCCCTACCCAAAAGCTATCATTCTGCCCATTTCAAGTAAGTTGCAGTAAACCAGGCTAAATTTTTCATATGGTGACAAAGCATAAGCAACTATGTAGAAACAAAGTTTTATAATACAAAGTGAAACATATTGAAAATCAATGAAAATCATGAAGTATTTATTGGTTAAAAAAAAAAAAACAAACAAAAAATTCAAGGAGAAAAAGATACTGCATTATAAAGACTTTTAGTATCTTCACATTTCTGTTCTGTTCTGTTCAACAGGCACTGACAGATTAATGCTAATAGCTGCCCTCAGGTTGGCCCAGAAAAGAGCACGCTTACTCCTCTCCTTCGGCCACTCCAGGTAGGTTCTCTTTGCCATGAGAGCCTTCAGCTTGTGGTACCTCGCAGGGATAACATATGGAGGGATCGGCTCCAGCAAGATCAGGATTAAACTGTTGGAGTTCTCACTAAACAACTTGTGATGGGCAAAGTACAGCTCGTAGTGACACCACTCGCTCTGCACAAAGTTGGGGGACAGCACAAAGATGGACTTGTAGCTCTTCTCAATGCAGTTGATGATATTCTCCACGATGCTTTTGCCAGGGATGAAGTTCCTCTCGTGCTGACACAGCTGGATGCAGCCCTCCCCCTTCTCCAGGTTGGGGATCAGCTCGTTCTTCACCCACAACGAATCGCGTTCGCTGTACGAAATGAAGGCGTGGAACTGCAGAACGGCTTCCCGCTGCTCGGGGCAGCCGTGCCAAGCTCTCCGCTTCGTCCGCGTCCACTGCCACAGCATCCGCACGTACCACGGCACATCCAGGTAGATGCACAGGAAGGCCACCACAGCCACCAGCACCAGCGTCAGCAGCAGAGCTGTCACGAGCAGCAGAGTGGTGTTGCAGGCCAGCTCGGTCAGGTGGAAGTCCTTCAGCTGCGTGCCGCTCAGGTCTTCTGGGTACTTGCACACGTACGCCTCTGGCCAGCCGGACAGCTTGCCCCCAGACCGCCTTTCCAGGCGCAGGAAGTCCTGCAGCTCACACGAACACTTGAACGGGTTTTGCCCAGCTTGCAGCTCCTTCACGCTCGGGCAGCTCTCCAAGAAGTCGGCACTTGGCGTGAGGATCAAATTCCTCTCTACGTTCAGGATCTCCAGGCCCGCAAAGGCCCTGCACCCTGGCAGGTCGGCCAGCCTGTTGGATGCCAGGTTCAGCTCCTTCAAGGACTGCAGCTCAGCAATCCCCTTGGGGACGCTGGCAATCTGGTTGTTTTGTAGGTCCAGTTTGCTGATACGAACAGGCAAGCACTCAAACACGGACTCTGTCAGCTGGTTGGAGGACAGGTCCAGCTCTGACAGAGAATCAGTCCACTGGCAGCGCTTCTCAGCTCCACTGTTACGCAGCAAGTTGCTGCTCACGTCCAGATACCTCAGTGATTTCATACGGCTGGTCATGAAGCTCACCTTGGAAAGGCTCTCAAATTTATTCCTTTTCAAAATAAATGTCTCCAGTTGAATTAGTTTGTCACAGTTCTGAAAAAGCAGATCTGTTAAATCATTCTTTGCAAAATTTACATACCTAAAAGGACTGTCAGATGAAGGACATACCATGTGAATTAACTCAGAATCAGCTATTGTCAAGGCTTCGATGTTCATGTTTGCAAATATGTTATAAATGTCATCCTGTGAAAAGAATAGATCTGTGACTAAAACCTTATTCAGTGCAAGTGCTTTCATGGAAGTATCTGAATAGTCGAAGCGAGAACTTACGACGTTCCCCAGTTGTATTAAGTTGTTGATACTGAAGTATTCAATGGATGAGTGCCATACTGTCTGGAGTACTTCAATAAAAGCTTCCCAGTACACTGACATATTCGTCAGTGTCAGATTTTGTAGCCTGGAGCCTTTTCTAAAATTAGATAATAAAGTTATTAAGTTTTGTACATCGTCTTTTGTGATTTCCGACAATGATAGGCTTTCCGTAGTATTTTCTATCACAACCCAACCAAAATTAGCTTCAGACTGATGATTACTTGTATATGAGGGTGGAAGGCTGACGTTTTTTTTGTCCAAACTATCTTGTAGAAAATTGTTAGGAACAGATGTAAAGAGTTCATTTTTCATAGCCAGGCCAATATTGTTCCAAAAAGTGAATGCAAACAGACAGTTGTAAATAAAAAAGTTCCTGAGGTATCTCATGTTCTCTGCCATACTGCTTTATGGTTCCTTGGAGATGCTCAATACTTACACATCCATCTGTTCTAATCCTGCAACAACAACAACAACGGTTATATCATTAAGCAGCTATTCAATAGGTATCATGGAGATTGATTTTTTTAAGGTTCCAATTTGCTATCTCTCCCCTGGACTCAGAGAACAATGAAGGGACTTATGATCTCAGGAAAGACTTTATTAAGTGACTACTGTAGTTTCTATTTGGCAAAATCTGCCATGTTTAATAAAAAGTCTGCTTCTTTCAAAATGTATCTGATTTCATAGGTGTTAATTTTTCCTGCTTACTTATGGAATTATTGCTGTCATTCAATGTACTACATAGGCTCCTCACAACTCCAGGACACTCTAACAGGAAAGTACAACATTTGAGGTCGGTATGGTCATCCTCTATTAAAGGATATGAACTAGACTCAGCAGACTTTTTTTTTTAACATACACTTGCGTCTACAAAACCTACACTGAAACAGAACTCATAATGACTCTAAAATGAGACAGTAATAGCTGCCATTCATTGGAGGAATATAACCTCTGTACCATTAACCATTCCACAGGCTTTCTTAGAATTGCACTACTGAGCCTACAATGCACATTCTCGACATCACACAGCCCATATTAAGATATCTCAACACTGAAATAGCTGGCAGTCCACTAATTTCTACTTCTGTAGAGAATGCATGAAACTAGACTTGAAAACTGTCAAGACATAACAAGGTAGCACAGCATAACTTGTCCAGCCTTTTTCCAAATTTCCTTTTGAAAAATTACATTCAATTTCACCATCTTAGCCCTCAAAACACATTTGGGCAAGTGCAGAGAACAAAAAATAATCACCACTCTCTAGTCTGTTCTTTTGACTGCTTGGGGAACATTACTCCTAATGGAGTAATGGGAGTGGCATGGAAGAAATCATACTTTGTAGTAACATCTTTTTTTCGTTCAAAGTGTATCTTAAAATCCTTAAACTTGACAAACGCAGTGCTTGCAAGATACATGCAGATAAGCAATTCAGTAGACTACGGAAATCAAATTCACGGGGAGAACCTGTCCTGTTGTTTAAAGAGAGATCAAAAGTGGGACTTGAAGAGTTCGTCCTATAAGAGCTCCATATAAAGTGACTAACTTCCACGTAAGAAATAACACAGAATGCATTAAGCTATGATCATTAAGTATAAAGACACGCACTTTGAAAGTTATCAGTATCACAAAACTCAAGTGCTAAAAGTATCTTTCATAACGATGAAACATACTATCAGTTAGACCTAATTTTAACTGAAAGAAAACTACTTCAATTATAACACCATGACCCCCTTCACTATGACCGTGGTACAAATACAAAAAGAATTCTATTTGGCCAGCTTCTCTGGACAAATTTACTGACCAAAAAAACCATTCACTCTCATTTTTTACCCACATGCTTATCATACATCTGCTAATAAACTTTTATGAAAAACATGGTCTAATTTCAAATAAGATGCAGAATATAAAAGTAGGCTGTTTCGCTAATTAGAAAAAGCATAAATCCAATAAAAAACAATAAAAAAATCCAATAAAAAAATTTCTTACCTGAAATCCCCGCTCTCATAAAAAGCAGAAAAGGTGTTCAGGAAAAGACAAAGAGAAAACTTCCTGTAATTCTATCCTTTTCTGTAATAGTACTTTAAAACACCCACACTTTTTATAAAACTTGTTTGTGCCACCTATTGACAGTTTGAGAAATAACATTTCTGTTTCTCCAGATGTTTTTTCACATACAGCACTAATATAACTTCCCCATTATTTAGTTGTTATTTGACTGGGTGTTTTCATGCTTTGTGGTAAGGTAAGCAGGAAAAAAAAAAAAAAAAAACCCACAGTATTTGTACCAATTTTCTTTCTTCATCACATCAATACAAAAGTAGGCACTTCTTTTGAGCAAGTTTGACACCAGAGTTCAAACATCTCCATCTCTTAATAGTGATCAAGGTCTTTGTATTACACTGATCATTTTTTTTTCACTTAGCTCTACTTATTAATTGACAAGTTATTATCAAAGCTGGTTTTTAAAAGCATTATTTGCCTTATTTTAATTCCCACTTAAGGGTAGAAGAAGAATCTCTCTCCCATTCCAGCAGTGTTGTAACTGAGTTAAATAGTGGACATGGAACTTTTGAATTAAAACAGAGGAACAAGTTGAGTACTGAATGCCCAAGCACTTGTGTTATTGTCCTGGCAAAGACATATACCAGCCTCTCTGTATTTCCATGTAACATTAGTTAGAAATTCCATCTTAGGAAGGTCTAAATATGGTTTAACCGAGGAACTCATCTTCCTTTTTGGCACAGCATGCTACAGTGTATGCACGATTCAGCACTTTGGTGATTCAGTAAGCAAAGGAAATCATTTTTAATATTACTTTCTCATTTTACAGCAGATTCTATATGCCATTCTTCCTTTCTCAGCTTCAAGTGAAAAGAAGTAATCCACAAAAGAAAGGGAAAGATAGGACCAACAGCACACGGCAGAATACAAAAAATTCATACTCTCATTCTCGTGCTGATAAGCCTTATGGTGGCACTCCTCAGCTCTTCCTCCATAACTGTTGATTACAGACAAGAGTATTCAAATCTGATTTACAAGTGACACTTCGTGATACTGTTACTTACAAGCCACGCTATTGCCTGCTCCTATCTGAAAAGATATAATCTTACAAGCCTTCAGTCTTACCAAACACGCACTCCTGTTTTGGAATGTAACAGCACAACAAACTGAACATGCAAACATATCACTCTAATGAGTACAGGATCAGACATATTTTCAGTTAACATGTAAGAACTGTTCCATAAATTAGGGCCTGTTACTGCCACTGGCATAGTCTGAGATCTCCAGCTCTGCATACATTCTACTAAGATAGGTTTAAGCATACATTAAACAGAAAAATAAGCATTTTACTATGAATTGCATGCCATTAGCTCTCATACTTACCACTCTTGTGCAGTCACTAGAAGAAGATGAATACGTTGCCCAAATGTTATGCATACTTCTGTGCCTTGATAAACGTAATCAGATTAAGTCACACAACAAATTTGTGTCCTTCCATCTTTTCTTTAAACTTCTATATCCACTAAAGGGCAAGTATTTTTCAGAGATCCCTTCCAATCTCTATGATTCTGTGATTTTTCTCTGAAACCTATCAAGGGCCCTTTTAGAAGGCAACAGCACTCAACTTAGATAACAAACTTCAGTGAAATCCAGGGTGGAGAAGAGAGGTTCCATCCTTATTGCTCCTTTCCCATATTAACTTTTTGTTGCAAAAACCATTTGTGACATCACTGCAAAGAAAAAAATACAAGTGAAATTCATTACCAGCAAGTGAAAGAAAAAGAAAACTTACTGTAAAATGCAAGTGCTAAATTCAAACAAGTCAGTCAGCAGTTCGAGAAACTAACACACCCTTCTAGCCCACAGGCATACACAAACATTTATAATGTTAATTCATCCTTAACAAACAACTTTCTATGACAGTATTCATTAATACCGTCTTCCATTTCTAAAACGTGCATGGACTTATACAGAATCTGCAAACTGGCACTTTAAGATCCGTTTCATAGTCCAAATTATATTACACGATGAGGAAAAAGCCATCTCCAGCCGCCGAGCTTCATCCATTAGAATTCTTCCTAAGACAACGCTTTACTCTTCCGCAGATACTATTAAAAAGCAGAGGCAAACCCTCAGGATTACTCCAGAGTTCTCAATGAATACATCTACTGTATTAACGTGGAAGGCACCAGAGTGCCCAGCACGCCCCGATAATTGTAGTCTCACTGAAACTCCTCAAAAATCAGTGCGTGCCTTAGCGATACAGGCGTTCGTCCTGCTGTCAGCCACCTTCACAGGAAGCTTCAGAGATCTGCTTGGTAAGGGCGTCGGTCACGCGGCTCTAATCCCTAGCTGTGAAGCAACCCTCCGAGAAATCGTGTTTGTTTTGTGGCCTCCCATAGAGGCTCTCCTCAGTGATTCATAGGATGTGTTATGCTTCCTGGGGCAACAGCGAATAACTTTATTCAGAAAAGGAAGTCTGGCGGCAGAAGCGACGCGGCAATGAACCCTGGAAGTACTGATCGCAGCGAAAGGCACGCTTTGCCCTAAGAGGAGGCAAGAAAAAATAAAAAAAGAGGAAAAGCCGTGAGGGGCACTGCTGCAAGTTTGCGGGCACGCCTCCGAGCGGCCGCCGCTGTTTAACTCTGCAGCCACTCACTTCCATCATCTTTGTTTTGAGGAAGGATCAAACTTTCCGTGAACAAGTAAATGAACAGACGGATTGCAGCCTAGTGGCTGCACTCGGTGGTGCTCGCAACACTTCAGCATGCTTTATAGCCCCGGCGCTGCCGCACTCTTCCCCCGTCGGCCCCCTCGGGGTCGTGGCGGCCGCGGCGGGACGGCGCAGCGCACCCGGCCGGCAGCCGGCACCTCGCGGCGGCCCCTCCGCTACAGACGGCCGCCTCGGAGGGACGGACGGAGAGCGGCTGCAGGGCCCGCCCTCGGCGCGGCCCAGCCCGGCCGTCCCGCCGTGCCCGGCCGGCGCTCCCTCCTCCCCCCGCTGCTGCCGACGTGGCGGGGCGGGGACGGAGCCGGGGGTGCGCCGCGACGGACTGCAGAGCGGTAAGCAGAGCGGCTGTGCGTGCTTTTCTTGCTGCCGCTTTTGAAACCGGCTGCGGGCTGCTGACCGATAGCTCAAGCCCGGAGGGCTTAAGCAAGAAAAAAAAGAAGAAAAGGGGGAAGCTGCGGGTTTGAGGGAGCGGCAGTTCCTCCCGCTTTGCGCCGGGCAGGTGGCAGCGGGGCCGAGTCCTGCGGAGGACGAACGGCGGCGGCTGTCGGGCGGGAGGGCGGAGCTGTGCCGCCGCGCATCGTGCGGGGGTCTGGCGGGTGACGGATTGCCGAAGCGCTGCTCCGTGCTTCGGGAAGTTCGGCGGTTTGCTTTGCTCCCCTCATCTGAGCGGAGAACTGCAGGGCCCTTGGCCACAGCGGCCCCCAAAGATGAGCTACTCCGGCAAGACTGCATGTGATCACTTACATATCGCACTGCCGTTGGGCGTTTGCTGTCCACATCCATCCCATACAGAACTATGATACGAATATCTAAAAGCTGTATTGGTTTTAGTAGAGGGCCTTCCTAGGCGATGCAGATAGAAACATATTCGTTAGGTGTCTCACTCATCATGGAGTGAGTCGTGTTAAACTACAGCCATGGTTGCCTACACTGAAGCATTTTATAGTATTTGCAATATTTTAATGGATATTTTAATGGAAAACTGCAAATGATTGAAAAGCGAAACCGCTGTTGTTTAACTCTGCAGCCACTCAATTCCATCATCTTTGTTTTGAGGAAGGATCAAACTTTCTGTGAACAAGTAAATAAACAGACGGATCGCAGCCCAGTGGCTGCACTCGGTGGTGCTCGCAACACTTCAGCAGCACTTCAGCAAGTGTAAAGATACTGATGTGTAATTGCACATTTTCTAAAGATAAAATAAGTTCCAGTGTAAACCGAAGTAATGTAAGTGGCATCTACTCCTTATTTATTTATGACTCCAGTTCACTGATCCCAAGTGGTTTTATTCTTGGTGCTGTTCAAACAGCTGATCTACATCCAAATTAGATAAACGGGATGCTAAGGCCACAGATGTGCATGATTCCACAGATTTTAATAAGTTCCACGTTTGTCATTCATTATAAATCCCTGTCATATTCCACTTCTCATCTTTTCCTGTTCTTCAGTCCCTTCTAGAACCTCAGTCCTTCAGAGAGGTACTTTGGACTGTGTTAATTTGAATAGGAGTCAGTGAAAAATATAGCATCTCCAGACAGATTTCCTGAGTTTATTTTGTGCCATACAACTCTGTGTGTAGACAAGACCTTGCAATAACAGCACTCTGACAAGATTTGTTTTTCAAGTACACTGCCAGGCATGCTATTGACAACAAGGAAATAGTGGTAATCACTTCATAGGGCTTTTGGACTCTGCCTCTCCTTAGTCAGGTGTAAGACTAGCTCAGTGCCTGGATCCTTGATCTACAGATTGCAGCATTGTGGAAAATACTTGAAAATTGTGTTGAAAGATGTGGAGTAAACAGGGGAAAATCCGTTTTAAACTTAGAAAAACAAAAAACAATTGTAACTGTACCTCATACAAACTTACATTGGCTTCAGAGTTGAAGTTTAGTCACACAGCTTAATTCTGTTTAATTAATTCTTATTGAATTCTTACATGACATTTTAGAACAGGTGAGAAGCATTGCATTCTCCAGGCAAGAAATACAGACTGTGTGAGCAGTGGATGCTTCCTGTGTACGAAATGACTGCAGGGACCATGCCTGTCATGGTGTTGAAATTATTTCCCTTCTCTAATACGTTAACATTACCACAGCTTTAATCACACTGTGCTTTATTCAGATTCTTGTAATCCTCCTCACCATCAATCAGCAAACTGTAGGAACCTGTACAAGTAGAAGTGATGAAAATGAGAGTAAGAGCTGCTTGGTCATTGTGTTCCAGAGCCATTTCAGATCAGATTATCTCACTAACTATTGGCATTTCCTCTATAAAAATCATTGAAATTAACCATTTGGAAGTTCTCATAGTTAACCTCTCCAGACAAACAAACATCCTTTCTCCATCACCAAGCAGTGTTTTGGAACACAAATTAATAGTGCTGCTCTTTGTACTTGAGTGCAGTCCTGCATGGTGAAAGTAGTCAGGCCCGGTGTGACACATGTATCACAGGGCTCCATAGGTACACACAGTCTACGTTGTTTTTCAGCAGTAGCTTTTGGGAAGCACTAGGTTTTTTATGGTCTTTTGCCTGTTTGTAGAGTCTGAAAACATTGACTTGTTTTCTCTGTTCAGAATTGAAAATGTCTGAAGACTTAAGTGATGGCATCCCATCTGAAGAAAAACCTGAAGTAATGGAAATGCCCAGCACAGATGTATTGCCTCAGGAGTCAGTACTGCACCCTGTGGAAGCTGAGATCCTGCCTGCGTCCTCACAAGATGAGCAGGGACAGGCCACTGAGGGTGCCAGTAATGGACAGAAGGGAGATGTATTTATTAATGAAAATCCTTTGACTGAAGAAATAGCTGAAAGTCTGCCTTCCAATGGAGAGGTGGCTGAAGACATGCCCACTGAGTGCATTGAGACTGTAAGCCTTGATACAGAACCTGAGCCTGAAGAAACAGTGCCTGAACAAAGTAGTTCAGTGAGTAATGCTTTCATCCATAAAAGCCCTCCCCCTCTTGCTCTGTGAGAACCAAATTTTGTAAAACACTGACACTGTTCTTTATAAGAACCTTCATGAGTATAGAATCAGTTAGACTCCATCACTGGCTTTTGGCAGCTAGGAACAGCTGAATCTCTCTTTGCTGGTATGGTATTAATTTGATCTTGCAATCTTGGTGCAATAAAACTATGCCAGAGTCTTAGTAAGAACCTAGTCCATTTTATGTAGCTGTAGTACTCCTATGATTTTGTTATCTGGTTTCCTGTACATATCTGCTTTGTTCAGTTCACAGAACAAACCTTGAAGAGGACAGAACTTAAGCTGCATTTGCAGCATTAAGTCTCGTGCTTTCTTATTTTCACTGACTTCACAAAAATAAAGTGTCTTTCACAAGACTCCAAGAAAGTGAGTGAAACTGACTTTCCTTGTTCCAAGCCAGCGGTTTTTGATTTGTGATCCCCAAACCTCTGGGACTACTGTGAGCAAAGGCAAGAAGTTCATTAAAAAGGAAAAAAAAAAGAAAAAAAGAGAGACATTAATGGAAAAAGTGCTCAGTGCCTTCTATGGCTCTGTTTTGATTGAATGCAGTTGTGAGAAATTCCCTATGCACGTTTACTTGTAAGGAGACTCAGACAGAGAAGCCTCTAGCTCTGGCTCCATGTAGAACTGAGAAAGAAGGTGAGTTCCTGCCTATCACAGAGATTAATAAATTTGTATGGCTTCTTAAGATTAGGTGCCTGAAGAAATATTAGGACATTAGAATTATAGAATCACAAGGTTGGAAAGGACCTACAAGATCATCTAGTCAGGACATGTTAAAGAATCGATGGAGTTTTATGTCTTTTAGGAATAGGTGCATTTTGAAATAGCCAAAGGAGCAGTGCCACCATTGAGAGATGTGTCAGAGTCAGCTTGATGATCTGTTTGCTCCTGTGGGGAAGAATATGTGAGATGAGAACAGCAACAGCCCTGCAGCGTTGTTAAATGATACCTTTACTCTTGGACTACTTTGCACAAAAGCTTAAGCTCCTGTTAGAGGAACTAGCGGCAAAGGTTTTTTTCAAGCAGTCATTCTGGGCTATTCCTCTCTATATTCTGACTATAAAGAATCATTCTTCAGAAGACATCACATGATTTTAGTCAGAATTTTAGAGTAATATATCTGTTTTACAGGCCACAGACTCATCTAAAGCAAGTAGATGGGGAGCTTGGGGTTCCTGGGGCAAGTCTCTCCTGTCATCAGCTTCAGCCACAGTGGGTAAGTGTTCCATCAGTAAAGTTTGTGGAAATGAATTAAATAATAATTTTAATGTCATTAGACACATCATTGTATCTTAAAGACATCTAAAGTCAGCGTACTTCCTTTGACTAATAGTATTCCTAGAGTTTTGTCCTGATTGGCTTAGCAAGGTGACAGTGTGCCATGACTTTTTCAATAGGACAAATGACTTTCCTAAGCCATGTTACATGCCAGCATAGTAGGCTTGTTTGTGTAGAGTGAGTTACCTCATTGTGGCTGCTTCACAGGAAGGATACATAACATGACTGTCAGTTTGTGGGTTTTGAAGCCAATGCCTTCCATCCCAGATTCATTCACTTATGTGTTTCTAGTTTATGCATCATGACTTTTAACTGTACAATGTAAATTATTCTCAAATTATTCTAGCTTTCACTGACCCACAATGAAATGGTTAACCTTCTTCATGTCAGACTCCAGACAGTAGAACAGTATGTTGAAACACAGAGCCTACATTCTTTCTTCCTATACACTGATTTCCAACAGTACGTCAGCCCAAAATGTGCACATGAAGTCTTCAGACAAAACTTAATTACACATAAAAAACTCACACAGACAAAAAGTAAAACATGCAGTACTTAGTTCCCAGCAGGTAATGATTTCCCACGAAACTGCTACTGAGATACAACTCTGATCAGTTCTCATCAAGGATCCAAAGAACATCTTCAAAAGATGAACCTAGGTGTATGGGGGCTGTTGAGTCATGGCCTCAACTACTGATTGATCACCTGAGGAATCCCAGTCAGCCCTGGGAACACAGGTGAAGGCGATTCAGCTGTGTGAGCAGAGGGGGTGGAGCCTTGCTGCACCTCTCCTAGACCCCATTTAAGAGCTGACCCCCCTGGGGGAGGGTTGCTGTTTGGAGTTTTCATCCTTGTGGAGTTTTCTCCCTGTGAGCCTAGATCTTCAGAGGTAGGTGAGCACCTTTCCATTGCACTGGTCCTTTTGTTATTACATCTCCTGTATCACCATTCTGCTGTGTTGATCTTGCTGGTTATTACACTAGGAGTTCAAATTAATTGCTAGTTAAACTGAAAATTATGGATACGATGGAGTTACTGGTTTTATGACCACAAGTAGAGTTGAGTAGTTCTTCTTGTTCTCCTTAGACAGTAACCTACTTTTGTCTGTTCCTCAGAGAAAGAGGGGACTTCCATCTCATCCCTATTTTCAGCTGTACTCATCAGTTTCTAATTATGTTTTTTTTCTTCAGGTAATTCTCCAGTTAACATCTCTAATAATCTTAGTATGTGTTTCTAAGAAGTTTTAAACTGATATAAACAGTTTCTGCTGAAAGGCAGTGTATTTCATCCTTCTCTTATGCTGACAATCACTTTCATGGAGTGATGTGGGGAGCTGGTTTTTGGGACCGATTTTGGAAAGTAGAAATGAAGTGAGACCTGCATCTTCATCTAGAGTAGTTTCTAAATTCCCCAGTGTGGCTCACCATTTGATCACCCAAATGCTACTGGTAGTAAGAGTGGGATGGCAGCAACACAAGGAATGTATGGATGGGTACAAAGGCATCTTAACTAGCTGTGGAACTGTGTGTGTTCTCAACGTGTATTAAACCATGAAGTTCAGTGCTTCCCTTTCAGACTTGTAGAAGGGTGTTATGAAACATTAGTAGTAGGTGGAATAAAAGATGACGTTTTCACAGATTTCTGTGATCTAACAGCAGTGTGAAACAAATTGAGCTTAGAGTAAATAACAAAAGAGGAAAAGTTATGTGTGTAAATTAGTGTCATTAGTGATAGGACCAGGGGGAATGGCTTCAAGCTGCGGCAGGGGAGATTCAGGCTGGACATGAGGAAGTATTACTTTTCAGAAAGGGTGGTCAGGCACTGGAACGGACTGCCCAGGGAGGTGGTGGAGTCACCGAGCCTGGGGGTGTTCAAGGAAAGGCTGGATGTTGTGTTGAGGGACATGGTTTAGTAGGAGCTATTGGGAATAGGTGAACGGTTGGACTGGATGATCTTTTAGGTCTTTTCCAACCTTACTGATTCTATGATTCTAAAAGTAATTTTGGGTTGCACCTGTTGAAATTGTAATGGGGATTAATTACCTCAGTTCACTTTAATGTTTGCAGCATTGGATCTCTTAGAACACAGCTCTTTTGAAGACTGATTTTTTTTTTCACCTGTGAGATAGCCATGTTCACATTCTGTTTAGATTTTGCAGTGAAAAACATTGTAACAGATGCTAATGTTCCAACTCCTAATGCTACTTTCTACTTTTTACAAATGGACACTGTTCCTGTAGAGGTGCAGGGGCAATCCCACTTACAGTATTCTATTGCTAAAAAGTCTCAGCTTTGCAGAGCAATGAGTTTGGTATCACAGAGTACATGTTTTTCCTGTGGGGCAACAGAGCCTTTGAAACTTTCTGTGAAACAGACATGAGCTTGTCTAAAAGTGATGAATGCTGTTAGAAGAGGTTTGGAGACAAACAATGTGTGTTGTATTCCTTCTTATGGTCTGGTAAGTAAGCAAGACATCCTATTTACAGCTGTTTGGTGCTTTGTCTGTAAAGCTGCCAGCATTGTGTATCTGAATTCCCATGTTGTATTTTACTTAATCTTTTTTTTTTTTTTGTAGGCTGTGTTAAGTATTGGTTCATGTATGTATATATATATCTCAAAAATTCATTCTTAATTGACATGAAATAACATGTGACTGTGTCTACATTGTAACTAATTTTCAGTGGATGTAAGTATGCAAAAAAAGTTGATGCCTAGGCAGTCTGACTCGATATGATTGTGTGATGCTATTTTAAATGGCCATATGAATGCCACCTATATATTTGCAACATTATTATTTTAAAAAGTGTGTAGTTGGAGCAGGTCAAGTTGCCTAGGTGAAGGAGTATCCAAAAGCAGAAAGGAAAATAAGAATTTTAAGATTAATTTTTCATGTGGAAGGTTGAACTATGTCACAGGAAGGGTCTGTCTGCTATTTAGTTTACAGCAATTGGGAGAGAGAGTAAAAAACATGTATGTACTGCAACACCCCCCCCTATTTTCCTATTTCCTGGAATCTACATCTCAGAGGCACTTCCTGACCCTATGGTCAAGGTAGGGTTGAGTTCCTGTATTAACATCTAATAACTTTGGATCTAACTATCCTGTGATTTATTAAATATTAATTGAATGAAGCAGAAATCAAATTCATGTTCATGCACCCCATAGTCAGATATTATTTCCATTTGTTTTTTTTTCCTTACAAGATAGTCTAAGTCTGACATTGGATACTAAATCTTAATTAACAACGTTTATATTTATTTTCTATGAGATTATAGCTTTGGATGCTATATCAAACATTGTAATATATATAGTTCACTGAGCTTAAAATAACTCGATATGCCACATGCATACTCTTTTATATTTGTTCTAGAAATCAATGCAGCAAGTAATAGTGTACATAGATGGTTTACTTCCTAGGTGTTTGTTACAAAAATTCATGCTGGGTCCTGTGAATTATTTGCTGCCTGTCACCATCACAGACATGATGTGAGACTAGGTATACTATGTATCTGATCAGTGTGGTAAACATTAGCAAGAAACAGGGAAGAAGAAAGCTATTGGGAATTTCTATAACCTTTCTTCTTTTTATTAAATATTTATTATTCCACTTTGAAGTTACTCTGTTTAATATCTGAGCAAACAGTTCAACCAATAACAGAGCAGCTTAATCTCCTATTCTACAGCAGAAAATGGATTTGCTGTAATGCAGTTCATTTAAATGATGCTTATTGTTTTAGTGTAGCATGTAGTACAAGGGAAGCTGTTTTTCTGGAATTGAGCTTTTTAACAACACCTTCAGTATGTGGTTTTTCTTTCTGTCATAGCCTTTGTATAACCCAGCTTCTTGTCTGGTCAAGTGTGACAAGTATTTCCCATTCCTTGTTTTTTTTTTTTGTTTTCAAAATTGTACAGTGTAAAAATACCAGAAACAATTTGGGGTGGGCTAAGTAATGTACTGAAGCCCTAAATGTGTTCAGCTCTTGCCACATACTTTCTCCTTAAGACTGAATGGAAATTGTTGTTCAAGGATCTCAGTCTCATTATCCTTCAAACCCTGATTTAGAGCTTCCAAACAAATCAGTGTTTTTACTGTGTGGCTGTATGTTTGGCATTGTTGATTTTAGTTTCCAGCAATAGTTTTCCTGTAACTTGTATATTCTCTCCTTAACTAACACTACATATTGCTACTGGTTGTATTGATGGTGGCTTTGTTTTCAGAAGTCTTTTAGCTTTGAACTGTCTTCAATGTTTTTTGATCAAGGTCCCTTTCCCTGGCATTTCTGCCTGTGGTAGCAGGTGTGACACTCCTGCATGCTGCAGGTTCCATCATGCCTGCATGTCACTGCCAGAGCCATGTATGGTGTCTGACACTAGGTGTCACACTAAGAAAGTTATTAGCTGTGCTGTATTTACTGAGACGAAGAGTTTTCTTTTGTCTTTAAAATGCACAGGAAGTTTTCATGTGTGGAACCACAGTGGAGTCAATTCATCGTAGTAGTTGCTGGGAGAATGAAGTGGAGAAGTAAGCTCGCTGTGGTCTTGAGACGCAATTTAGTAGTTATTGTCATCATTTTATTCTTTGTCTTAAATTGTACTGCTTAGTAATCAGCAATTACACAATCCAGTTTTTAATTAATGTCTGATAATACTTTAACACTGGGTTACCAGTGCAAGCTAAACCAATCTAATGGCTAGCAGCCACTGAAATGACCTGCACCTCTCTTTTCCTTGCATGTTTCTTTCTCTTCCATGTCCCAGTGCCTTTCTGAAAACCTGATATTAACCTCTTACATCAGTAAGAATAACCTCCAGGTTTATTGGCGTAAGAATAACACTAGAAGAACAAAAAATACATTTTCTGTTTCTTCAGTACCTTGAACAAATTTGCTGTGGGATGAGTTAAGAACAAGGGCAGGCAGAATGGATGAATGTGGAAAGCAGGAGCAGGACCTCCCATACCAGCATAATGAAGGCATTAGGTTGGCCTATCTGTAGCATCAAGCCTTAAGCCCAAAGGCTTAAGTGAGGAAAATACCTCATATACGTTCCATATACGTTCCATTACCTCATATATGGAACTTGTGACTTTTTTTTTTTAAAAAAAAAAGCAGCTTGTGTGCTTGAAAGCTTGTGGGTTTTCTTCCAACTAAGCTGTCTACCAGCTTTAGGAAAGCTACTGCTGCCTTCTACAAGCCTTGCAGTCCCGTTTGCTTTCTTCATATTTTATGATGTGGAAGAGGTTGAGATGCAAAAAAAAAACAACTTGTTGCAATAGCATGTTACTGTTACTATTTCATTAAAAGCTTTTATAAATTCTATAAGGAGATCTGAAAGTGGTTTCACTTCAGAGCTTAGTTGGAATTATTCATGATTTACAGACTGGATAGCTTAAGTCTTACCAGGATTTTTAAGTAGAAAGAAGGCAGTTTCCTAGCTGAATAATTATGTTCTACTGAAATTACCAGCAAAGAAAAAAGTCATGCAGGCAAGAAAAACAAAACCAGCAACACAAAATCAAACCACGTGCCTACTAATGCTCTTCCACTTCTGCTATTACAGATGATTAAATAGGGTCATCTGAGGTGTTTGCAAGTTTACAGGATCAGTTCAGTTGTGCTATGAAATAAACATAAAACAGTGTGCTGTCACCCCCTAAAATGTAGGCTATTCTCTCATAGCCCCTTGTTTTCTTGTGCACAAAGCAGTCACGAATAATCACTTTCATTTCCAATGCAGGATGTAGTTCTGTGGCTTTTGTGTGTGTATATCCTACCAGTGCTGTGTTGCTTCAGTTGGAGTATTCTGTTTTCATCTGTTGTTTTGCTGTAGCTAAAGGTTTTGCTGAACTAAGCTTCATGGCACATTACCACTTGTAGCTGACCTGAAAGACTTTCTTGTCATTCTAGCACATGTGAACACAGCCTTGAAAATGCTATGTGTTATAAGGCTATAGGGATGTAAGCTTGTCTGCAAAATCATAACTTATGCAAATCCATAAATTGACAAAAACTTAAATTTTTGTATAATTACAGATGGTAATATTTAGTTATCAAGTCAAAATCTGTAAGCAATTTCTATCAACGGAAAGAATGGAATTCTTTTGTTGATTTAAAAACTTGTGAGCAGCAGAAATGGAAAGGAATGTGATATGAATTATCTTTTGCTTAAATTTATCAGCATGATTATTAGTTATTTAAGTGAGTTCTGGGAATCTGAGTAAAGAAGTTATTTGAGAATCTATTCATGCTAATGTTTTCATTGAACCAATTAAAATGCCCAGGAGATTGGGATTAGAGCAGTACTTCACTATTCAGTATCTGCATCAGAGCAGACTTCATGGAAGGCAAGGAGTTATCGGGCACTGACAGACATTGCTGTGGCAGATAACCTAGATGTCCTTTGCAGTTGTAAGACATGAGATAAAATAGACAAAAGCCATATTTTCTTTAGGCAGGTAAGAGCATTTACATGCCTTGTCTCTCCATTTGTGTAAAACGTTAGGACCTGATGTCATTTGTTATATGAGTATAAATTACTTGTTTCTGGCACTCTGTTCCTAAGGGAACATCTGTTTTCTTCTTTGTGTTTTCCTGCAGATACTCCAGTTTTCTTCTATGCCATATTTCAGTACTGCTACTTCCCACATGGTTTCTGTAGCATATTTATTATTGAACTCGTTGAGCATCTGATGTCCAACCCACATGAAAATCACAGAATCATAAATTTAAGCTTTTCTTCTTATTCCATTCCGAATAGCTTTTCTATGTCTGTCTTTAGTGAGGTTTTCAAGAAGAATATTTATATGGCTATATGTACACATGTGTATGCATACATGTATATTTAGAAGGATATAAAATAGAGCATTTGTATTAACGGCTCTATGAAATTATTTATGTATTCACAGTTCAATTTGAGATAGAGAGGCAAAGAAGTGCTGAACTGTCATTAATACTTTTTCTGGACAGATAATTAGGGTACTCTGACTTACTGCTGGAAATGATTAGCTTTGAAAGTGATGCAGTGAGTGTGCACTGTGCAGGAAACATTTTTCGTCTAGAGTTTTTTTGTATTTTAGCTTTATCATTTCTAGTCAGTTAATGTACTGGATGTAGGAGGACAAGTGAATTATTGACCTAGAAAATAGTGAGTGAGGTAGCTGCAATACTTATTCTGATTGCGAGTTATTTTTTGTGATCATTCATGGTACATAAGGACATTACGCACTATTAGGAATAAGTTTTCACATCATATCATCTAAAGTGCATTTTTGCTGCAGGTCATGGGATAACAGCAGTAAAGGAAAAAGCAGGAACTACCCTAGGAATTCATCATGCAAGTTCAGCATCTTCAGAAGCAGCAGAGCATCCTGCGGCTGAAACATCACTTACACGTAGGTTTAAGTTCACTGAAATCTCTGACACTTTTGACACTGCCAAATTAATTCAATTCATGGAATTTTAAGATTTTGATCACAGGATCCCATTTGCTGTAACTTGTGACTTTTAGAGGTGAAAAGGTGCTCTAGCTTCCTCCCTTTCTTAAAAAAAAAAAAATAATTCTTGTTGTTTGTTAGCAGAAGATTCTCCTGACCAAAGCTCTTCCGAGAATATTCCTCCTTCTTCTTCATCTGGATCTCGTGGGATGTTGTCAGCTATCACTAATGTTGTACAGAACACAGTGAGTCATTCTAGTGGGCCTCTCTTCTCTAGGGATTTTCCACCATTTTTAGTGCAGGTCACGTTTAACAATTGTTTGTTGGTTTGTAGGTCTCTGTAAAAACAGCTTTCTAATAAGCCTATTTGAAGTTATTTCCACTGAAACTGAAATCATTAGCCAATAGAAATCCATTTTCAATGTAGCTGAGAAATTGGGAGTGTGGGATAATGCTAGTAAAAATACACAGAAAAAACCAAATGTTTCTATAGATGTTTCCAGAGTAATCACACACCAAAATTTTAGAAATCAGCTCAATAAGGCAGTCTCATTCTATTCGTGGTAGAGTTTGACTCCATATTTTTCTTGCCTAAAATGTTCCCAAAGATTAGCTGCTGCATAAGATGAAATAAAAGTGGTATTCTTAAAATTGTCATTGTCAAGTTTTATTTCCTTTTGTGTGGGGCTTTTAACTACAAATATTTGTAGTTTTATTTTTTTGAGGTGTATTCAGAACAGTGTAACATAATTATATGAGCACAGAAATCCTATTGTTAGTTAGATCAGAGAAAATCTAGGGAGCTGAATGTCCTAAGACGGTGTCAGCAAATGTAATACTCTTTACAGTTCCTATTAGCATAAAGTGGAAAGAAAATAACTACATTTCGTTCTTTTATGCAGGGGAAAAGTGTATTATCTGGAGGCTTAGATGCTTTGGAATTTATTGGGAAGACAACCATGAATGTTCTTGCAGAAAGCGATCCTGGATTTAAGAGAACAAAAACACTGATGGCAAGAACAGTTTCTCTGTCTCAGGTTGGATTTATTTTAATACAACGCTGTCACTGCAGTTTCACATTCATTTTCCAGAATTTCAGATGCCTCAGGGAGAGGCTTTATTTATTGCAGTAGATATTGGCTAGGCTTATGAAAATAAATATTATGCTTTGTATTTGCTCTAGCGTCTTTTTTTTTTTTCACAGATATTAAAAAGGTGATGTAAAATATCCTTTCTGCATAATTATGTTCAGTATAGTTGATGAGGTGATATATGTGGTAATAAATCATTATGCTCCAGAGAGACAATCAAATTGTTTCATTTTTGTAACAGCTGTAGATAGCTGTCTTCCAGCATAAACATCACTGCACTACTTTGCTTGAAAATGACTAAAAATGGAATATGATGTGTGGTTCATTAGGAATCAAAGCTGCAAAAAGGGGCATCTTATGTCCGAGTAAACTAAAGGTACCCTTGGAGAGGAGTCATGTTGTGATTTGTATCTTTAAAGGTTCAGAGACATGGTAATAGAACAGCAGTACATGCACTACCAGTACAAAATCGTATTAGCTCTCCTGAGGGGAAGAAAGCTGCAGAATCAATAGACATGGAAAAGAAACTCGGATTTTTACATTTACTCCCTTGTAGAGAGTGGTAAGGGATTCTTCTTTTAATGAGATGTTTCATCTTTAGTATCGGTCATTTCAAGTTGAAACAGACTGCTACTGTCATAGCAGGCCAAAAACAAGTAATTCTTTTAGGGAACATGAATGCAGTTACACATATGACATAAATCTGTTGCAGCAGCACTGTTTTGAAGTTAGCACTGATAAAGGGGAAATACATGCAGGCATAGCTATATCTCAGTATCACAGCTGAAGTCTTTGCTGTGGTGTGGTTCTGGATGTGCATGTCTAATTAAGTACTTGTAGCCATTGTGCTCAAGCTTAATTTTGAAGAGTGTATTTTATGGAAGGCATCCCAAAGCACTTCACTGTAATGACACTAGATCTGCTGTAATGAAAGTGGTTCTTATGAAGATTGAAAACTTTGATCTGGGAAAAGCTATCTGGGTTGTAGCACTCACATATTTAAACACAAGGCTGTTTATACAGGTGTATTTGATACCATATAAGAAATGCTGGCTGTTTCTAATGCAATTGGGTTTTGTTGTTGACTTTGTGGAGGAATGGATTTGATTTTTCTTTAATTTCAATGTTCCAAATATTTTTAAACGCATGGAAATGAAGGAGACAAGTAGGGTCATAAAGTAACCTCAAAATCAAGTATGAAGAATGATTAAAATAAGCCGGATGCATCTGTATAGGACAAATCTTTCAGAAGCAAAACAATTTGACATTTTAAATGATTGAGCCTTAGCCACACCTAATGCTTTGTAATTTGTCAGTACAGGTAGAGCAGACTAAATTGGCCTTAGCTTTAAACTGGCCTATAAGCAGTTTAAGCCATTCTGCTGACAATATGGGCAACCTAACAGAGCTAGACATGTAGGCTTAAAGTGAGCCTTTGAGAATACTTTCCTAAATAATATGCGTAAATCTACACATAAAATGTGATATAGTAAGTGGTACATACTGATTGTCATGGTTTTCATAACATGGTGCTTCATTATAGGTGATCTGTACATAGAATGTACAATGTGTGATTAACTTTTTCATGGTGGGGACTGAAAAAATCTGTCCTCGGTCTTTTGTCATAGGAATTTTGAATGACACAACAGTAAGTGGTGTGAATTTATCTATGTACAGGCTTATTGGTGATTTAAGATACAGTTGAGATGTACTTAAGGGCTTTACTTGGCAAATTCATACAAGAGACCATGCTTTCTTTGAAAGCCTGCTTTATAAGAAAATCACTCCAAAGTATCTCCAAGTACATGCAGTATAGTTCTGCCCCATCCTTGGAAAGGGCATGCCTAATTAGATCTCTCTTGTCAGTCTTGCTGTCACAAAAAAAAAAAAAAATTTTAGTGTCTATAAAAATATTTTATGTACATAGGAAATATTTATGTAAATACATTTTTTTTATGCAGACAGGTAGGTCTTGAAATAATATTCTTTACATTTTGTGGTCTGTGGAATGGATTGCAGGAGTCTTTAAGGTTGCATATGAAATATTTTTCTAGTTTTCTTCCGTTGTAATTGGTAGCTACATTTATGAGATGGTATTTATAGCAGACATTGCTTTTGAAAGCATAAAGAAGATTATTTGTTTGCTCATTGTTTTTTAAAAAAAAAAAAAAAAGATGGCTAGCAATTACTATGGGGGAAAAACGCACTTAGAATGCTACATAAATATTTTATTAGACTTGTTTATAAAAAAAAAGTTGGGTATTTCAGCTCTGCAGGTGTGATATAGTCCCAAATTTTAGTACTACCTTCTAAACAAGCAGAAGCAGAATGTAATAAAATCTGTCATGGCTACAGCACCACCAATAAAAACAACAGGAATGATGTATATTTTTGCAGCTGCTGCGAGAAGCTAAAGAAAAAGAGAAACAGAGACGGGCCCAGCAAGTTACAGTTGAAAGAACAGCACACTATGGACTGCTTTTTGATGAGTTCCAGGGTTTGTCTCATCTTGAAGCTCTAGAAATCTTGTCAAATGAAAGTGAAAACCAGGTACAGTATGCAAACTGGGTAAATCACAATAACTGCTAAAAAAAACTGTTCTATACTTTAATTTTGCTGTGCAGTTGCATGTGAAATGAACATTAAGTTTTCCTTCAGCTTCAGAGAAAGCTGATGTGGTCTCGGGCCAGCCAGTTTGTGTCTTCAGGAAATTCATTTGAATACACCTCAATTTAACTCAAAGATTAGCTCAAAAGGAACAGCTTCACAACTGAAAACTATTTCTGTTGAGATTGTGTAGCAGATATCTTTCATCTTGTGATGCTCTGCAGGCAGACATCTCTCCAGAACTTCAAGGTGGCTCAAGTCTTTTGTTTTTGTATCAGGCATTGATATTTACATTGAGGAATTTCAGACATACTGCAGGTGGAGGACAATGAATTAAAATGAATTCCAGATTAGTTATTCAATTCTTAAGTCATCTTTTTGTTTCAGTTTCTAAGCTTGAATGGAACAACCTTAAGACTAATTCAATTACTGGGAGTACACAAATGCTGCACATCTCCCCCTCAAAAATCCTGAAGTTACCAACATCTGATACATGGTTGTTTTTTAATTTCAATTGTCAAGTTATTTACGCTGCTGCTAGATCATTGGATCACTGACTGCAGAGTAATTGAACTGCTGTAGATTCCTATTAGTGGAATTTTTACTGAAACATTTTTCTGAATTTATTTCTTAAAATGTTTTCTTTTGGTTTATTTTTGTAGTCAGCACTCCTTGCTCCCTGGGTGGTTTTTTAATAAAAATAACCAAATTCTCATTTTATAGTTCTAATTGCTCTCACAGATAATAGAAGCTCATTTTAACAGAAGCCAGGTACCTACTATCCACACTTTTTTGTTTACAGTTATGTCTGAAAGCAATGTTATAAATTCAAAGCCCCCTATGTAAGGTTCAAGAGCCTTCTTTTAAAAATGAACAAGAACAAAAAAAATCTTACAAAACAGGGAAGTAATATATAGTAAACAAGTTCAGGCCAATGGTATCTGTCAACACTCTTTTACTGTGAGATAGCCCAGGGTAAGACTTGCATAAGTTATAACCATGGGGTTTCTAAGGTGCTGTGTCTTAGATAACTCCTAAATAACTTGTTCACAGTCCTGCTTTTTCCTCGATCTGGAAGAGGATATAAGCACACAAGACTGAATGCAACTGCCTGGGTCAACAAGTCCAATTGCCAGATATATATTCCAGAAGGCTCAGAGAACATATTCCAAGTACACCACTCCACACATCCCCATACAGTCGTATAGAAAGGGACAAAACACCTCATAGAGCCCTTTATATCTTGAGTTGGATATCCCAACATTATCCTGTATTTGCTCTGAGCATTTGAAATCAATATAGCAATGTGGAGCACAGGAAGCATTTTGTGACTCGCCAGTCACAAGTAGAGTAGCAGCATGAGAGTAATACATTACTGCAGTGCATTACAGTGATTAAAATGTTTCCATCTCTCCTGGGTGCTCCACTGTATGTGCAGGGAGCTGCATGTATCTGAGATGCCCACAGAGATCAAAAAAATCTCTCAATACATTCTTCAGAACAGGTACATCAGTACACTGTCAATAACTTTTGGTGGGATTCTGAGGGAATGAAAAACAAGTGTGTTTTTCCTGCTCTTCCCATGATTGTTCCAACTAAATATGAATTGTCTGTGCTCATCTTGCCAACAGTCTTCACACCAAACAATCTCAAATGTATTACAGCTTGCAACTAAATGACAGTTTTACAATTCAGACTGTTCTGCTTGAAAGTAGAGACCTGATGATCTTGCAAGGCTTGTGTAATTTTTGTGATACTCATCATTTTACGAGAACTAAAAATATATCTACGTATTTTGGAAGGCTAGAGATATTTAGATTTAATGGAAGTTTCCGCTAAGCCTGTTTTGGCATCAGATTGAAAATTATCAATTTAAGAAAGGCCATGTTTCATTTAGGGATGCTCGTCCTTTCTTTTACAGATTCAGTCATATTTGGAAACGCTTGATGGAGAGCAGCTGGAGGTTGTGAAAAATGACTTAATTGCTATAAAGGAGATTTTTCTTCCAATGGAATCGGATGAAGTGGTACAGGCACAGAAAGGTAATTAGAAATGCAGAGAGTTAACCGTATGAATAATTGTTACTTCTGCATATAGTCATTTTAAAAATTGCAATCCAAACTAATGTCTGTTATCTCAATACTCCTTATGAGAAAGTCACTAAAATGAATACTCTTGATGTTCTGGACATTGGAAGAACACTTAATATTGGATTTATGTTGTAATTGAAGTGTGAGGTAAAAAAAAGTACAAGGTAAGAATGTATTATACTATTTTGCCATTTCATCATTGAAAATAGAAATAAAAAGGGAAAATAATCTGACTGAGGCTTTCTTACAGAGTCTGTTTCTAAAACTATTTAGTCAGAAAGGTTAGGATTGTTTGGTAGTGCTTTTCCATTTAGCAGTTTTATCCTGACTTTGCGCCCTTGCTTGCTAGGTGGGGAAAAGATTAGAATCTGGTTAAGGGGACTTAGAAAAGCTGACTTTTTGTAGGAAAAGCACTTTGAAACAGTGTGGCAAAGCTACCTTCTAGATACTGCTTGACAAGATGTAGCATGTAGAGCATTAGAAAAAAGTTAATAAGCAGGAGCACACCTTAAATGTCACAGTGCACAACATTGAACCGTCTGGCACTAACATGGTAATCCACAGATCAGCTCACAAAATTGATGGTAAAATGTGGATCATCTGGCTAGTGGCAATATAGGTGTTTTAAACAGGTCAGGACTTTTGACATTCCCCAGAATAGGATGAGATCAGGAAAAGTTACCATAATTTGTGTGAGATCTGTACCCAACCTATTCTAGCAAATAAAAAGAATCCCCTTGACTCAACACTAACTCATGCTACTTAACACTGTATTCAGAATCTTACTTTAAAATATATTTCTTCGCATCCTTTTGATCTTCTCACAGATGTTTTGCCCATAAACCTACATTCTGCAAGATGGGGAGGTGTCACTTCTCTGCCCTTCAGAAAAGGCGGAGAAGCTGTGTTCGCATCCACATATTTCAACTGGAAGATCTTTTCCAGGCTGCATTCTTTCTAGCAGTGCTTACGCAGTGTGTGATGTCTCTCACAGGTGGACTACTGCTTCTCAGAGGAGCAGCAGGTGTTCAGCGTGATGTCTTAATATGGATGAGTTTTGTGCTGTTCTAGAGCATGATGTGTATTGTGCCTCAACTTATGTGCTCCTGGTTGTGAAACCAGACCCCATGAAAAGCTCTGTTTCTTGCACAAAGTGGTATTTACTCTGGTTAGGTGGTTCTGGGGGTTTTCAGTGGTTTTTTTTTTATTTTATTTATTTTTTTTTTTTTGATGAAACAAATCTGCTTAACACTCTGCTTGAAACATTAATTGCCTTCTTAAACACGCTGGCACCAAGGCAATGAGCACCTTATGGATTGAAAAAAAAACAAAAAAACAAAAAAACAAACCAAAACAACAAAATCAGAGTGCTGCAGGTTTTCATCTGCGCTAACATCTCCTCTCTGGGACAGCAGGAATGCTAACTAATTGCACCCCATACTCCACCTTGCAGTGAGATGGGTGTTAGTTCAGGCTGCAATTCAAAATGATGCATGTCCTTCTCTGTGGCCAGACTTCATATTTATTAGTACTTGAACTACAGATTTCATCTATTACTATTAAGTTGAATGAATTTTAGTTCCACTGGAGGACACCAAAAAATAAAGAAGTTAATCACCCTTCAGCATAGCATTCTTCAGTCTCCTGACTGGAGATAGTGATGTTTCTTCAGCCTCATCTCTAACCCTGTGTACATGCAACACTGCAGAGAGAGAGCTCTGAACTCCATGCAGTGCTTTGACATGACCCCTTGAGGCAAAATGTGTTATCTTCATTAAAATCTGTCAGAGGGAGTGAAGGCTTCTTAGGAGCTTCATGAAACTTCTTGAGTCAGGGGAAACAGACCTTTGAGTTGCAAGTGTATAGCATCTGCAGTGTTTTTATCCAGAACAGATACAAAAAAAACTCATAAAAACTTGAGGGTTTCTATGAATAAACCCTTACACCACAGCTGTCTGCCATTTTCAGATAAAAAAACAATATCTAGAGCTTTTACATATAGGACTGGATGGAATTTGCATGTCTGTTTCCCCAAAGCACAGTACCGTTCAACAGTATTGTTTCATAATCCACTCAGACTTTGGTTTGCCAATCCTTATATAATTCAAGTTATGTTCCAGCAGCCCTCTCTAGTCATACTTAGAATCAAGTTTTGCTCTTAGGAGTGAGACAGCGCATATTCCTGTCTGAAAGCACACTTGATCTTTTAATTTATGCTAAGCGAGTGGTTTGTGTTTAATGTTAGGAGAAATTTTAAACATCATTTGGCATCCAGCATAGATAAAAGTACAGTTTAACAACAGGTTGGTTGGTCAGGATTAAAGGCAGCTCACGTTTTCTCTAAAGAAGAGTTTATTCTAGTTGATGCTAAGCAAGGTTCTATTAAGCACATTAATAGGTTTCACGCTTGCAAAATCAAGTCTGCAAGCCATATGCTCATTTAATGGTATATTTTTATTACAAAATTATGTAGTTTCACTTAAACTTGGTCATCTAGTAGGTGGGAGAAGCAGGCTGTGTTAAAACTTAGGAAATAATTTTAAGTTTGGTCCTCCTTGCTAGCTAGCTTATAGCAACGGCAAATTTACCTTTCATAGGATTTTCTATGCTTGATGAAACTTGTAGGTTTTCTCCTTCATATGGTGAAGCCACCCCCTTACAGAAGCCAGAGATTATCTATTGGTGTTTGAAGATGTTAAAACTTAGCTAGGAACTGAGCAATATTTTAAAAACAGGTTAATTACCACTTATTGACTAATTTTTTACCAGCTTCTTGTAATCAAGGCCATGTTATTTATGTGGTGTCATTTATCAGTGCTACATACATACATACATACATACATACATACATACATACATACATACATACATATATATATATATATATATATAATAGGCTGAGAGTGTCTTGTACTTGAGTATCTGAAGAAGAGTTGCCATTTGCTTTATGTAAGCTCTTTGGATTTCATGCAGAGATGTTGGTGCGGCTTTCAGTCTCTAAGTTAAATGCTTTCAGTCCAACACAAGAAGTCACTGCAGTGGTCTATGGAGGGCTGCTTTGGGAAAGGAGTGGGGCTGGACTTTGTTCTTGACAACTTTAAAACTGGGGTTTGATGTTTTTTGTATCTTTGCTAAGCTCAGTGAGAGATGGAAAATCAACAGGAAAAGAGAGGAAAAGGATATTTTCTGATACCAGTAGAAGAAAGCCCTTGATTTTCTGATGTTTTCCTTGCACTGTGATTGTGCAGCCCTTTCATGTATTTTTCACTGCAGTGTTTTTTACTTTTCAGTTGTTCATGAACTAATGAGGGAAGCAGCTTTGCCTATGTTTGAAAGCCATTAACAACAAAGATTTCATGCGCAAGCACATAAGATTAAGGGACGAAATTATTGAGATGTATATGCCAGTTATCAACAATTTTGCCAACTCTGCAGTGATCTGGTGAACTGCCTATCTGTTTTCAGTGTGCTGCAGTTTATGGAACAATTTGGCATTGTCTTAAGAACAATAAGTCAGTGTGTCCAGAACAGAAACAAAGTAAGGATGAAGCAAGATATGAAATTAATTTTTGAAGTAGCTGGACTTTTATCAGGTTCAGTAGGGGCACTTTGATTTTTTTTTTTTTTTTTTAAAAAGTTATTAAGTTAAAAAAATGGATTTTGCATATTCCTTTAGGAAATGTTAATGAAGATTCCAAGCTCAGTCAGTGCAACTTAACAGAGGAACCTAATTTACCAACTTTTAGGAGCCTGGAGCATGCTAGGCAATGGCAACTGCAGGTGGTCAAAGGGTTATATATAACATAGGCAAAGTTCAAATACTAGTGGTATTTACCTTTACCTTGTGCAATAAAGATGCAGGTGTAAAACTCATTTCTCCAAAAAATTCTTTATTTAAGCAAAGCTCAATCTTAAAATCTGAAGAAAAACATATTTCTTAGCTGTGGTTTGCAGACAGAATGGTTGAAAACATATTTTCCGGTGTTTCTTCTGAGCCTGACTGTGTTAGTATCTGGCCCAGATGCAGTTCTTATTCTTTGGTTTGAAAGAAGAGGTTGGTATCTCTTCTTTGGTTACTTGATAGGTTGTGCGTTTTCATCAGGTAACTAGGAAGCATGCAACTTCTCTGCTTACCTATCTTACCTATCTGAGAAATACAGCAGAATTTAAAATGAAGTGGAAAGTCAGTGTCAAGCTAGGACATCTAATTGTATAGATACCTCTTGCTTTCTCTCTTCTCTGAGCATCTATCTCCACTTTCCGTATATCATTATCACCAATCTTCAAGTTCTAGAGTGTTTGCAGAAGCTATTTGCTAGATGTATTAGATTTTGTTATCATTAACATTTGACACAAAATGTCTTTCTCTTGCAGCAGATATGGGAGAAGAGTTTGTCAGCATGCTCACCGAGCTGCTATTTGAATTACATGTGGCTGCAACTCCTGACAAACTGAACAAGGTTGGTGCTTGTCACTGAGCTTGGGCAAAGAGGGATATCTTTGTTCTGGTCTGCAGAGCTGTAGCTAGCTCAGGTCAGACAGTTCTGAAGACTGTAGCATAGGAGGGTGGGACTAAAAGTATAAATACTTTCATAGAAGGGCTGAGATTAGTGAGGAATACAGTTGAAATGCCCAACTAGTGCAGTAGGCCATGTTAGAAAATCTTGAAGAGGGATGTCTCAGCAAAACAGAGATCAGCAGACGTGGTCTTAGGCATGAAGAACAGTGGCAAAGTTCTGGAGCATGTTCCTGGAAGACTTCTCCAGACCTTCTCAGCTAGAGAGGAGCTTTAATCTCATCAAGCTTTAAAGCTCATCAAGCTTTAATCATCTAAAAACTAGATGGCTAGAAGCTAATTACGTTAGCAGTCACATTTTTGCACATTAAAGGTGATTCACCTGCTGATCTTAGGTTCAGATGAATGTTTTTCTCTCTAGGTGCATAGATAGCTTACTGATAAGCAGTTTAGGCTTAGGTTGTTATGTGTTTTAATTCAACTTTACCTTTGAAAAGGGAAATAATAAATTTCCTACTAACTGTAGAAGTCGTCTCGGGAGCTTGGATATGACTTTAAAGTTTTTCCACTTTAATCTACTTTCATGCCTCAGAAGGTAGCAGGAAATACAGTGGTTTTCCTAATTATTTTTCTTTTAAGAATTTGGGATGACTCTCTTAACTCTCCAGGATTTTTGCCTTTCTTTATACCAACCTCCTCTTAATTTGGGAAAGTTATTTCCATGTAAATTCCTTTGAACAATCCCTCCTTAAGCTGAAATATTAATCATTTTGAAATATTCATAGGTATTAACACTAATTCTTTGTGTTGGCTAAGAATTTCATACCTGTACAGAATTTATATCTGGCTGATCTATCTTTACATAGCCAGAAAAACTTCTCCCTACAGTTTCTTGAAAACATATTTGACTAAATGTTTAAAAAACATCTTGAAAAATGTTTCAAGAGGCTTGATGTGTTGAAAACTTTTGAATGAAAAATAATAATGATAACGCACTGTTAATTAATCTTTAGGAACATTGCCTATTGTGCCTATAATTTGATATTGCCTATTTTAACTGTACTTTGGGGTTGGGTTCTTTGTTTGGCAGGCTAGGCAGAAAGCTCACAAGTGGCTGGAAGAAACCAGTTTATCCACCTCAGCAGACATAGAAGAGAAACTGAAAGAAAAACCTGGAGAACCTGATGAAGAAAAACCTGAAAAAGGAAAAGACAAAATTGACAATGATCAATCAGAAGCAAATAAAAGCAAAACTGTGGAGGTAAAATACCTTTGGAGAATAAGCTTAATTAAGCAAATGAGATTACTTCTTTATCTTATGTATTGGTACTATATGTTATTCTTATTTGTTAAACTCATTGAATTATTGAGAAAAATTAACACATAACTGCTCAGTGTAGACCCAACAGGAAATTAACTTAGAGAAATATTTTTCCTGGTGGTCTTTTCCCATCAGTAAATATCAAAGTACCAAATCCTCTGCTCATCATATTTTCTTTCTGTCTATATTTGTCTGTTTGTATGGATATAAACAACATGCAGTGAGCTGAGAGATTCTGTTGTGTAAATCTGAAGAACAGGGAAGGTCAAATGTCTGCAGTCATTAGGATCTCTTTCTCCCAGTCACAGTACACAGCAAAAATTCTTCAGCTTTATTTAAACTCATGAATAGCTCAAATCACAAACAGACCAAACAAATAATATTCACAGGTGCTAATTCTCTTTATGAAAGATAACACTGAGGGCTAAATGTGTTTTGTTCATTTAGACAGCACTTCTTGTTGAGGTGGTTAATTGTGACTGAGTATTTTATGCGAAGTTACAACAATTTTAAATGTGGTTAGGATCTTTGTTAAGATTTTTTAATTGTAATAAAGCAATCATCTGCCGTGGTTTCCTTACAGGGAAAGAAGAATCCAAAGAAAGAAATGGAGTTACATCTGCATATATTACAGATTTTTATGCGATTGCAAATTTCCAAATGGCACCAGCTTGTGAAAAGTTGTGATGCCAGAGTGCTAGGCAGACTTTTTTTTTTATCACTGCTGACAAGACATGCTGTTTTACTGGGAGTTTTATCAACTCCTAATCTGAAAATTCATCTGATGAATGACTCAGTACTTTAGGCTCAATAAAAAAGACATTGTGACTTATTCTATGGCAAAGGGATCTTTGTATTTGTTAGGAAAGACTTTTAAATGAGAGATTTGTTCTGACTAGTTTTTCTTGATCAGCATACGGTCTGTATTTTTTAATCTGTGGGTATTTCATTTTTCAGTTTCTGAGGATTTTCCATTTCTGAGGATGGCTTTGTGGTGTGTGTGTGGTGGGATCTCCATCTGGGGAGGAGGAGAAGTATTCTGTGTTTCAAATTATCACACATATATGTATGTATATTTATCAGTGCTGCTATTATTGATTATATTGTTCTCTATTCTTAATTTAAGGAAATCTACATGCTGTCCATTGAAAGTCTGGCTGAGGTAACTGCTCGTTGTATAGAACAGCTTCATAAAGTAGCAGAATTAATTCTACATGGGCAGGAAGTAGAAAAGACAGCTCAAGATCAAGCAAAAGTACTGACAAAGTAAGTGTTATGTATTTCACATTTGATCTTTGACATTTGCTTGAAAATCATTAAGTTCTTTTGAGCTTTTGACACTTGAAGTCCAGTAAGTTCATGAATCAATAAATAACACTTGGCTTTAGGAGATGTTGGTGCTGTTTTTCCTCATAGTCAAGTCATGTAGGCTATCTATCAGTAACTTTGTAGTAATACACAACAGAAAATACATAAATTTAAGAAGTCAGTTTATGCAGAACTCAGAATTTGGATTTAAAGCTCTCTGTAGTGATAGATTTTGCTGATTTCAGTGAGTTTTTCTTGCCTCATAAGGATTTCACCCAAGATGTAAGCACTTGAGTCCTAAGTAAAATATGTCAGCAAGCATTTGTCTTTAGGGCTAATACTCTCAGCAAAGTGCATTGAAATGCTTAAGTCCAAAACTAAGTACTCAAATAAGTGCTTTGCAGAATTAGAGCAGAAGTATGTTGCACTTCACAGGATGAGGTTTGATATTATATACTTGTGAATACTTAACAAAACAGTTAAAAATCTAGAATTAGAACGAGGTCTCCTTTTCCTCTTGTACTTTAACCACAAGTATACTTCCTCTTCTACTACAGAGTAGATGTTTTCTGTGGTTAGATAAGAATTTTCTCACTGTTCTCATTAAAGTTTGATTTATTTCTAACAGTATTTCTGGGAGTTGTGTTGCTGCAACCATCAGAAAAACAACAGTAGAACTAAAAGCTTAGAATTTTAAAAGTCAAAACATTTCTTTATCAAAAAAAGCAGTGTTTAAGCCAACGTGACAATATTTTGCTGCTGTAGTCAGCATTGAAATTTTCAGTGGAGTAATATGAAACTTATATCATGAGCAAAATGTACCCCGAGATATTTTAAAAATTACTAGAGGCAAAATTGCCATAGGAACAGTCCTGGCGTCCAAGGTGATGTTGGTGCCTGCATTAGTTACAGGCTTTTTATCTACTACTAGGAAAAGGTTGTAATTTTCTATTTGTCTCTCCCTTTTAAAAACAGTTTAACAAGTGCTATGTGCAATGAAGTTTCATCTTTATCAAAGAAGTTTTCTGATTCTTTAACAGCAGCTGGGGTAAGAAAACATTTTCTTTACCAATTGAGCTTTCGTTAACACAGTTCACTTCTTAACATAGAAAGTATTACCAGTAAAAAAGAGGGCACTAATTTCCTCAGATCAAGAACACAATGTGTTTTCCTAGCAGATTCCTAGAAATTTATAAGCCTTGATAGACTGCAGCATGTCCTCTGCCTTCTAAAATCTCTTTCTAGACACTATTCTCCATTTTCCCATAAGACAAAATAATCTCAAAACCCACTCTGTCTTATATCCCAAGAGAGGCCATTTGGGAGCACCCAGTTATCTGTGGCCATCTCTGCAGAAATGCCTTTTCTTTCCCTTTCCCAACCTCGTTGCCTTTGCTTTGCTTTCACTGACAAAAGGAATGCTGTTGTGAAGACACATGGGCAGACACTGCAGGGGAGCAGTGGGGGTCTTTTCAGGACCTGTAGTGCAGGCTCTGACTTACAAGATAAGGTATTTTCAAAAGGACTGACTTCTGAGTGTTCTAACAGGATCCAGAGGCAAATATTTTGCTGATGCTGAAATTGTTCATAAAGATCAGAGAAGAATCCTGGCTCTCCTGATTACTCCAGGATAGGGTTAATATACATCAAAGGAGATTTCCACAGCAGTTCCATGAGCTCTTCCAGCACACCAGTGAAGAAGGTTTTTTTTCAGTTATTTGTTGAGAAGATGATATCTTGGATTGCTTTTGTGCTGAATAATTTACATTCCTTCCCATTACCCTTGAAGAATCTGCTCATTTTGCAATTTGGGATTGTGTTTTATCATTTTTTTGACGCACTTGCAATAAATACATGCACAAACCAAAATAAATTTCACATGAAATATTAAGCTGGGACAACTTAGAAAATTGGAAACTGAAGCTGTCGTAAGAGTTACATTGGGTTTTGTGCTCATCAGCTCTCTACCCAGATTTTAGAACCTAATTATCTTGTGCATATTTGTATGGACACAGGAAGAAATCAAGCACAAATACACTTCCTGCTGCCAACATACTCTCTAGAAGAAAGCTTTGTTTGGGCTGTCTGTTGATGTTTAAGAACTGTCACATCCCTGCAAGCTTCTAGAGCATGATGTTTTTATATGATTTGATAGTGAAGCACTGGAACAGGTTGCTGAGATTGGTGGTGGATGCCTCATCCCTGGAGACATCCAAAGTCAGGCTGGATGGGGCTCTGAGCACCCTGATTGAGCTGAAAGTGTCTCTGTTTATTACAGGGGAATTGGACTAGATGACCTTTTATGGTCCTTTCCAACTCGAACAATTCTATGTGGGCCTTCTGCTCCCTATGATCAGTCATGGAAGCAAGGAGTATCCATCACACAGGAATGTTCAACAAAATCTGCATCTTCCTGCATGTCCCAAGTGGCTTAGTTGTCTCCTTAAGCTGCCAGCAGCACTTGGTTTAACACATTCCAGTATGTTGCAAAGTACATTGACTTGTGAGAGACAGAAATAGTTAGAAGAGAAAACTTGTTGGTTTTTCTTCCAAACATAGTGCTGTCATAATTAGCTATGTCTTTATAATTCAGATTTTAGTTGTAGTGCTGGCTGTGCCCATACTCCATGATGTTGCAGTATTTCTAACGGTGCAGTAATGCAGAATTAAAAAATAGCACCTTCTCTTGCTATGTAATGTCTTTCAAACTTAAAGTTATTGATGCACGCAGTCAATAGTATTTGATACTGCTCTCTATCTGAAACAAAGTTTATTGACAGTGTATTACCCAGTACCTTCTGTAATGGGTTTCCTAATAACTGACAGTAAAATTGCTTTTCTTTTACCTAACCACTTTCCCTTTGTTCTGCAATGTCTGAGCTAAAATGAAGATTCGTCATGTTTCTGTAAGTCTGTAATATGAAAGCCAGGAGGTTGTAAGGGGTCACCCTTCAGTTAAAATAATGGATATTGTATTCTGTGTTCCAAGTAAGTCTGCTGTTTGGCATTAGAAGAAAGCTAATCTTCCTGGAGTTTAATGTCATTCTAATAAATACAGTGCGATACATAGAATAGTGAGAAGGAAAAAAGGAAAAAACTTTTGTCTTTATGAAAAGCAGAAGAGATGATGACTCTTGGTTTTCTAGGGCTTTGATTCTGTAGCCTCTAGTAATGTCTCTGCTTCGTGTACCCATCCTCATTCCTGGCTGGTAATTGAGAAGAATGCTGTGTGTGCTGAGCCAGTCACACACGTTCACTGGCCAGCCTGTGTTATCACAGAATCACTCAGGTTGGAAAAGACCTTAAAGATCATTGTGTCCAAACACAACCTAACCACACTACTCTGACTTTAACAACCCTCTGCTAAATCGTGTCCTTGAGCACCACATCCAAACGGTTTTTAAACACATCCAGGGATGGTGACTCAACCACCTCTCTGGGGAGCCACTGCACCATCTCCAGGCTGCGGGTCTGCTTCACCTGTTTCTCCTTCTGAAGGGGAACTACTCTGGGCCTTTCACTTCCACCCAACCACAGATTTTCGGGAACCATCTCAGAACAACCTTATCCTTCCAAACTTAACTTACCCTTGAAATCAGCCAGTGTCTAGAAAACGTTGAGGGGGGGGCATGAAAAGGGCACTGGCAATCAGATGGGAAGACAGTGTAATCACATAAATCTCATATCCATAGGAAACCAAGCAATGTGAAACTCTGCATTACATGAAAAAGTAAAATCCTGTGTCTGTCTCAGTTCATTGTACTCAATGATAGAAATGCGTGGGGGCTACTGAGGTGTGTATGAAATGTAGGCACAGTAAAAGGGAATAATGTGATAAACAATCTGAATAAGAATCAAGGTGAAACAAGACCTTTCAAGAATCCATAAAAGCGCCGTGCAAGTACCAATATATTTATGCTAAATGTATTCCTTGTCATGACATTTCATTATATTTTTTGTTTTACAGAGCAATATGAAGGCAGAGATTCTTACCCCCATCATTGACAGTGTATTATTGGAGGTAAGTTTCTCACACTAAGAATGCTCTAGTAATATTATTTCAAAATGAAGCAGTCACATTTATGTCTGAAGACAGAACTCTATATGAAGTAATGATGATACCATTCTGGCTACTGAGTGCCAGCTCAGAAGCTTCTTGTTTTTGTGTTCAACCTCTCCCACAAATACTGTAAGTAGTAATGCTGCATTTGTGAAGGTTCTTAAAAGTGTGTGACCTTAAAGCACGACTGACAGGCTGACAGCTTAAGTTCTGCAGCTTATTGGTCAGAGCACAGCAGGAAGTTTGCAATGTGCTACTGAGCCTTCTTTAATTTATGCACAAGTTGCCTGGGCTAAGTCTGCCTCTAATTGCTCTTAACAATTGCTGTTAACAATTTCAAATCTTACAAAGTGTTTCTTGCTTACGGACAGTTTCAGCGTGTGCTTTTCTTTAAAGTTTGGGTTGCAGAAATGCGGCAGAGTTTCCTATCCACAGGCATTTAGATTTCTTCTCAGATTCACAGTCCAGCTGCATTGGTCAGCAGATGGATAACCACATGTCAGGCATCAAAATGTTCATGAGTGATTTCTTCTATGATTCAATATGATCTATTTTTCACCAGAAAAGCACAGTGAGCAAAATGGGCCTCAATTTACCATGGAGAAAAGAGGTCAAGTGGGAGTAGTATGCTCATAAAGTACTGAAACATGTACTGTCTACAGCATGAAGTCTCTTCTATCAGCTAATCAGATCATATCTCTTTAAACAAACATACAAACAGTAGTGACTGCAGTTTGCTGTTCTGTATCTAAAGTCACGTTCTTAAAAATAACTTAAAGGCTGTTTTAAAATAAGCAATTTTGCATAATTCAGTATCTTTAAGGAAAAAATGAATAAAACTATTAAAGATTACTAGAGATTCCTTATGTTATAGGGAGAATTTGCTGTTGCAGCTGACACATCTTTATATGCTCCAGGACTTGCAATGTCTGGGATATACCAGAATAGCGGAACAAGCTGTTTTGTACTTCTATAACCTCATTATTTATATAGAAACACCTATTAGTCCTGCCTGAGTTCATTAAGTATTACAAGCTGCTGTGCTGTTCAGTGTTTAGAAGTTCTGCAAATACTAAGTGATGTATTTAATAATATAATTTAATCATTATAATAATTAAAACTTTAATTTCAGTGACACTCTTCCACCTATACCAAATTTAAAATTAGTTCATTTGATGGAAGGAAGAGTTGATTTGTATTTAAAAAGTCAGATCCGCTTCTGAATAAAATACCATGTTATTCTACTCACGTTACAAACAAAACTCTCCAGGAGTTCAAACTGAGGGGAAATCAGATTTTTATGTTAGCAATACAGGCCATGCTTATTTACTCTAAGCCATTGCAATGCATCATTTTTGTTATCTACAGATTCTAAAATCCTGTGGGAATACATATGCTAATAATGCATGATGCAGATCTAACGAAGACACATTATTCTAAAACCACAGTGTAATTCCTGATATACATGACAAGTAAACTGATGAACCTCACTTTCTCTCCCCATTAGGGCTGCAACAGTACTACTTATATTCAGGATGCTTTCCAGCTATTGCTTCCAGTGCTGCAAATTTCACATATCCAGACCAGTTTGAAAGCACGAGAGTGATGGTCTCCCAGCAGTTGTCACTTCTGGGCTTAACAGAGACCACAGACCTAATCCCTTTCATGCGTGCGGATGGAAGAGGTGGTATGGAAGATGTCTGGCCTCCAAGAGTCTTCTGAAGGCACACAATGTGGTTTTGCACATGCCATATCAAGCAACATCTTAAAACTCTTTCAGACTTTTAGACTTCAGAAACAGTTAGGAAAGTGAGTTATTTCTTTTCCATCAGGGTATATACCCTTTGCATTAATTTAAATTGGATTAATGATTTATTGGTATTGACATAAAAACAGATTCCAAATGTTGACCCTTGCGTTTGTACACAACATACGAAGCAAATTAGAATGCAAAGTTCTTTAAAACAATTCAACCCAAATGATAATTTCCTTTGCTTGCTTCCTGTCAGTTAAAAATGTGTATTTCAAAAGGTGCTTTCAGTATTTAAGTTTAATATTAAGTCAATATGAACAATAGTGTTGCGCTTGTTAAATATTATTTACAGTAGTAAAGGAACCTCGTATAATCTCACCACTTACATAACACTTTGTGTTCAAGGAGTTGCACAGTAATAGGCACTAACTTTGCTGAGTTAAAATTCTGGAGGATGCATACAGAATTATACTAATAAGAAATGGGGGTGAGACAGAAATTTTACCTTTTAATTAATTGACAGCGGCTTATGAAACACCCTCCAAAATAATCTCCTGTCAGATGTGTTACCAGGTTACCATTTGGGGTTCTAATTTGGTGCTTAAATGTTATGAACCTTTTTACCAAAAGGAGTTACAAACACTGATGAGTCAGAAGTATCGTTTTGGGGCACAACAGTGAAGTTGTGAAGAGAGGTGGTGAGACAATTGCTGTGGGTATGTTGGAACAGTCACCCTTTTTTTGAGGCAGTGACTTGACAGTGCAGCTGAGCAGCAGGAATGCTGCAGAATAACGCTAACAGCTGTGATAACTTCACATGCTCTTAGCTTAAAATCCTGAGCTGTGAACCTCAGTGTCTCTTTAGCCCAGTTTACATCCAAAGACAGGAAGACCCTTCCAATATTTTATGTAGCCTGTTCTCCTGGATTTTTATTACATTTCTCACAGCTGTGTTTTTTTTTTTCCTCCCAATACACTCATGAATTGTATTGAAATATTTTTTAATTGTAGCTAACATCTGAATATGTTTAGTCATAGCTGCATAGTTCATACGTTGTAAAAATAATGGAACAGAAGTAGTAATTTCCTGTTTGTTAGAAAGAAGAAACCATGTATCTGCTTTGTATATGGTGAGTCCACAGAAGAGATGACAGGAAGGTTTGTTTGTCTTACGCTGTTGGCCCTGGTCTGCATTGTGACTGTAGGGAAGGATGAAGTTTTCACCATCTCTGCAGTCAGTTTGTTATGCAAAATGTATTTTCTGCCGCTCTGTAATTTTAAAACAGCTTTCTGGGAAAGTAGAAAGTGTACAGCCTTCAAATCCACTTGCATAGAATGTGTTTTAAAAAGTTCTGGGAGCAAAAGCAAGCAAACCCATTGGCAGCCGGAAAGGGAAAGAAAGTTTGACATTTATTGGTACTTATGCCATACTGAACAGCTGACTTCACTACAATGTGTTTGTTTTTTTTTTTTTTTTTTTAAAAAAAAAGGACACTGGAAAATGTAACTGGTGAGCAGACTCAGCAGCCTGAGGTAGGATACAGCTCCCTCCAACCACAGTATTTGTGCTGCTTCCATCTGACTTTGCTTTATTTCTGGAAATGTGTTTTCAAATGAGATTTTTTTTTTAACTCGATGTTTCTCTGGCTTCTGCACTTTGGGAGGAATAAACATTCTCCTCTATGGTAGTACTGTGTGGTTGCTGGAAGAAATACGCATGCACGTATGTGACCAGGAGTGACTCCTGTATACACATGGGCCCAGATCAACTCCTCAGTGTGGATTACTGAAGACCACATGCTTTCTCCATGTACTTGACCATGAGCAGTTTGCAGTTCTAAATATCTGGACACCAATTAAAACAGCAAGAAACTTGTAAAAAGTTCTTTTGTGTAAAGCATTTTTTCCTGTTCTGTGCTGGTAAGCAGAATGTGAGATCTGGTTAAAAACTTGTTTATTTTTCAAACAAAGACTGTTGGGAAGCCTGGTGTTTTCAGCTCTCAATCATTACAACTTGGACTTACTCTTACTTTAACTCAATCATAATCTTTTGTCAGGAAGCCTTGCTGCTGCTCTTGGAATAGAGCTCCGTGGCAGGTACCTGTAAGCATGGTATTACTGCCCAGGGAATCGTCCAAGGGATGTACCAATGGCTCTTTTATACAGCTCCTGTACTGAGTTAATGTTTTCTGATAGAAATGATTTTAGTTACTTCTCCTTATGGAGCTTTTGTTTTCCTCTGAAATACAGTGCAGAATATATAGTGTTAAGCCTGCCAGAAAAATGTGATAACTAATAGTGGTGCTTTTTAGCGGGTGCTGAACAATACTGTATTAGAAGCCTCAGGGGATAATGTTTAAATGGTTGAGGGACATTCTTAAGACAAAGATTGCTTGTCTGAGCTATTCCTTGTGAGAGGTTTCGCTGTCTTGCTTAAATTATGTATGTACTGAATAAAGTTCTTTGCCCTGAAGTAAAAGGAGTTATAAAAATAACGTGTAGCATTGAGTGCTCACATCCATACAGGATAGGAACAGGAACAGGGCACAGTACAAACTTAGAGATACTCCATGTGACCTCAGATTTATCCCAAGAGAACTGTAATGCTGAATCTTTAAATCAATTTTAGGCAAATACTTTTTTATTAGAAAGCACTACATATATGTAACCAGAATATTTTATTTACATTGGCTTGTATATTTCCGTCAGTCAAATCATTTGAGACACAGAACTGGGACAGCGTACCAAAAAGTGTTATAAAGAATAACATGATGAGAAGTGTTCTGAGTGAAGTATTTCTGATTTTGTGATGTACCTTTGGGTTGACTGAGGGGATTTTATTGAGAGCCTGACAAAGACAGATGTTGCCATAAACTTTCATGGGAAATTCTTCCTTCTTTCACCTTTTTCCTAGTCGGAACAGTGAGTGTGCTCTGGCATTTGTTGAACTACTGGGTGTAGTCTGTTCATGTGTAAACATCTCTTCCCTGTGATTTGTTCCTACGCTCCAGCATCCATTGCTTCAGACAGCCACACCAAAGAACTGTCTCTTCTACTTCTTTCACGTTGTTTAGATCAGCCACTGAAGCCCTTAATATCATTCTCTAAAATATACCTTTATATACAAAATTACACTTATTACAACTTGACATCTTTTTAATGTCTCCAGTGTCACCCACTGGTCAGAATTCACAGTGATCTGAATGAGTCTGAAACCCCACAATATTTTGAGTGACAAATACAGATTTTCACCCCTCCCCCCCCCTTTTTTTTTTAGAATCAGAGAAGTGGTTTTCAGCACACAAGCAGTCACCCTGCTCATAGGATTATCTTCGAGACATTCTGCTTCTATCTCAAATGACAGCCCTGTCCTTTCTGTTAGTCTCAAAAGAATGTAAAGAGTGGAAAACTACTTTCCTGAGTTCTTTTAAAAACCATCTGAGAGCAAGGCTTAAAGTGACACCCTCAGCCAGTCTGACCTACTTTGAGTTTCATAGTCTGACTGGAAAGCCCTCTGGACTTGATGCATTTTTTTCTGTTTCAGGTCAACCTTTGTTGCTGAGAATATGAAAATATGAACAGCTGCTTTATTGTGCAGCCTGTACGTTTTCTATGCTCAGATACCAACCTCAGCACTCACAATGCTGTGCTTATAGAATTGTATTGCTGATGGTGTGCTGTTTTGCATTAAAAAAAAAAAAAAAAAAAAAAAGACAATAAAATCTCAAAAATTGACCTGTATTAAACAGATGGAAGAGGAAAGATATTTTTTAAAGGCAAAAAAGGGCATACTGTCTGAAAACAGAGATAATTTTCAAGGTTGTACTAGAGAAAAGAGTCTTTCAAAGAATTCTTCAGCATTGTTCAAAATAAACAGGAGATGACATCTGATTAGTTCCAGCAGAACTGGAATAACAGCACTTCTGAAGTAAAGGAAAAATCTGTGTGGAGTCGAAGGAAGTAAGGCAAAGACAAGAACATTAAAGGCAGTGAAGCTGAAAGGAAAGAAGACAGTTAATTTGATTGTGCTAGATCTGCAGTGCTCATTCTCCCTTTATCACCTGTACCCCAAAAGTCTCTGAGCACAGATCTGCTAAGAACTTAATAGCCTACCCACTTTGATCTCCTTTTCACAGCTTCTCTTTACTGTCTTTTGGATAGATGCTCTAATAGACTCAAGAAAGAGCACCAGCTATTCATTTTGCCTTTCAAATGAGTGAAAGAATATTTCTTCTTTAATAGTACAATAATGGGCAAAAGAGTCTAAAAAGTCTGCAGCAAGGCCTCATTGTAATTCTTAGTGAACTGAATTTGCTGCTGCTGCAAAGAGGAAGGGGTGAAGGCATTACTCAAACAAATGTAAGCTATTCCTCTTCTGTGCTAAAGGGGTGAAGCTGAAAGGCATTCAACAAAAGGTGCCAGATCTGGAGTCAGACAGTGTCACTTAAATGAAAGCCAGAATGCTGGGTAAATCAAACAACTTTTACACACCTTTAAATGACTCTCAAGCCATTCACTAGACTTGTAAAACTGTTATTCTTACTGCCCTGGCTTATCTCACTGTATCAGCAGCCTTTACTATTCTTATTCTTAAGGTGACAGAGCATCTTTCCTTCAGTCCCCTCATCAGTTCTCCCTCTCACCCATGACTATTTCACACATTCCTGTATGCCATCAGCTCTGCCTTTCTGTCATTTTTGTTCATTCTGCTCCACCTCACCTCCACACCTACTTCCCCCACCAGCTTCTGAGGTTCTTCCTCCTAACCCTCACCTTGTGCCTGAGAGGCTGCACCAAGACATCCTTCTTCTCTTCACATGTTCAGTTTCCAAAAAACTCAGGATGAAGACGGGGTTAAGATGACTGAGCAAATCAGTTGCTTTTTAGCCCCCTCCTTCTTCCTTCAGTGGAATTGAACAGGTTCAGGAAACAGTCAAAGGAGTGATTCCTTCAGGGGGACACCTTAACCTTGCCCCTACCCAGCAGCCTGCACTATGCCTGTGCCAGCTCCATCACCAGCAGGAACCAGGTTGCCCTGAATAAATGAGATGCTTCCTCAAGGTTCAGGAATGAGTCTGGCTACAGAGCTGCTCCTGGTTGTTTTCATGCCGTACACAGATGGGCCTCCATGGCAAAAACATTCATTCTCACAACACTCTCAAAACCTAGAAAAGCTTTTTCTTTTCAAATACAGAAGTGAAAAAGAGTAATGAGCAGGAAGACCCTCATGAAAAGGCAACTTTTAACAGCATGACCTTCGTATCCAGGAGAGGAAATCAAGGGAGCTTGTATACACGCACCCTTGAATCATGCTTCTTTGTGGGTGACATGGAAGAACTGTCTCCACTCCAGCAGACAGACTGACGGGGAAGCAGCTCTCCAACAGAGACCAAGAAGCCTTGGAAGACAGCAAGTTGGGTTGGCCAATGGTCTCCTCAGCTGTATTAGAGAGAGCACTGCCAGCAGCTCAAGTGAGCTGATAATCCACCTTGGCACTCGTGAGCCCGCTCCTACATGATTGCTTCTGGTTTGGAAGTGAAGCATCAGTAAACTGGGGTGAGATCAAGAGAGAGCCAATGTGCCTGGGGCATGTGTCCTGTGAGAGACTGAGAGAAGAGCCTCTGCTTTCCTACAGTTTGGATCCTACCTGCAAAACAAGGTAAGCTCTACTCAAGAGAGAGATTAAAAGCTTTTTCTTGTTCTTGGTGTCTCACAGTGGTAACTCAGGAGATGCAAACTTTCAAAGTAGTAAAACACTTAGAAAGCTGTTGGATAACTGTGGGTAATAAAGTCACAATTCCTCCCTCCAAGGAGAAAAAAAGGAGGAGGCTATAGGCAACAACAACAACAACAAGAGAGAGAAGAAATAAATTACAGGAGAAAGGAAATTAAATTGAGGTCACAAGGAGCAGGGCTATCTCTACCACCAAAATCCCAGGATTACTGAAGGGGAAGAGTGATAGATAGTGCCATCATCTGAAGCATTCAAAAACTGACTCAAATAGCCTTAGCAATTCTACAGTGACTTTCGATAGGTATTTCCCTTCCATCTGGAAGTAGCGGTTCCACAGAAAGGGGGGGAAAAAAAGGAGGTTTATTTTATAGACCGCATTAAAAAATCAATTTCTGAAAAGCTTTAAGTTATTAGCATAGATAAGCAATGAAACTGAAAAGCCCCTACATCAACAAAGTCAGTATTTTTCTTTGACTTTTTTTTACAAGATGGTAACAAACAACAGAAACAAATGCTACAGTTTTGCACAACTAAACTTAAAAAAACCCATATGGGCTCAAATTATTCTGAAGCTAATGTTCACAACTATTCCTATTAAATCTGAACTGCATCATGCAGTGCAGTGGCTGGAGAAGCAATTTCAGAAAGCTTCAGGAGGGAAAAGCTATATAAATGTAAGGGATGGAGGTTATGAAGTATTAACGTGACGCTAAATTGCTGCATATCATATTTGCAGCGGGCAGTTTACAATCTGTTCATCCTGATGGATTTAGCACAAGGGAGTCTGAAGCCCTAGCTCTGCAATTTCTGTCTCTGCCTACTAATTTATGGTTAGATTATACGCACAAATAACGTGTTAGAGCCGAATGACTTTGGGACCCTGCTCAGCCCAAACAGCTCCATTATGCTCAGAGGAGCAGTAATAAATGGAAAGTAAGGAAAAGTTCCAGGAGATAATGAGTTTGAATGCTAATGACCTAAGCTAATCCAAAAAATAGAAATGCAATTTTTCAAAAAGTACAAAACCCATTTGGCATCTTAATGGCTTATAAAATAAAACAGTAATAATGATTTAGTGGATTTAAGCCAAACGTACAAATTTTCCACGCTTTTTTTCTTTATCCCCTGAGATGTTGCAGAATTTATGAAAGTCTTCCTAGTTTGCTGCAGAAATTAAAATGTACTGCAGAACTCTCTCCTTCTGTATTCTGTTGGCCATCTTCCTCAACAGCCAAAAATGATTTTTCTTATGCATCTCAGTCACCTAGAGATTTAAAAAAGCTGAAAACTATACTCATTTCATGAAAACTTAGGTTGATTTCTATCTTTTATCAGTATTTCATTCTATGGAGAATATAAATTTCCTCCCACTTAGAAAAATAAATTATTGCATGGATTATTTCAGGACCTTATGATTAAGCATAAATCTTGAACAAACAGAAAATAGATGGGAATCCATAATTTACTACTGAAGTTGATTCTAAAGCAAAGTGTGTTCGTCCATTATTCATATTTTCTTAATACCAAGTAGTTCTGCTAGATAAAATGAAGTTTCTCAACTAAACTGCACAGCTGGCATTCTCCTAAAAAGATGGATAACAGAGTTCCCAAACTGGAAATAGAGATGCTGTCTTCTGTGGTGTATTGTTTCTTTCTTTCATGCAATAGAAATTGTATTTCATATGGTACCACCTGAAATGAAAAAAAACATTAATATCAGAAATAAGAGGAGGTTAAAAAGCAGTATTTTCTTAAATGTCAATGCAGTGGCCTTCACAATGCTACATTTCTTTCACATTTACAGTAATTAATTTTCCTCTATTACAAAAGGAAAAGAAAGGAAAAAAAAAGAAAAAGTCTAACTAAGCAGTTATTTACACAGAGGATATACACCAGATTGGAGGTAAAGAGCTACAAAAGACACCTATCAGTAGAATGATGGTTCAGGTACCTGGTCCTTGGGTAGAGGAACTCCAGAAAGAACCACAGGCCCTCATTTTCAGGGATCGTTGGCAGCATGGGGCTGTCTAAAAGCATCCAGTAGGCAGAGAGAAGCTGCATGGGAGAGCACTGGCCACATACACCCAGCTCAGTGAGCCAGTAAGTTGTAAAGTACTTCAAATTGGGCTTCTGCAGTCTTCATACAGTTCATTATGGAACTCTCTTTTAAAGGTAGGTGATGATCATCTCCTTGAGAGTGGAACTTGTTCAGTTATTTCATCTCCTCTCCTGGCAGCAAGATGAGGAGTGTTCTGTGTAATAACTGCCTAAATACCACAGACTCTCAGTGCCAACTCCTGGATGTCTCTTTGTGAACTGATCCACCTGCTGCAGAGTGTTCAGAAGTTAATTAAGTAATTCTGACTTAGTGCTTCTCAGCCAGAAGTTAAATTATCCTTATGAAAACTTGCAGACCTGTGCCCAATTTCATTTCACGTAGTATATTTGTATATGTATAGTAATCATCAGTGAGTCTTTTGAAAGCTGGACTGCAGCTCCTGAAGACGCATGTGATGCAGAGACAAGATGTGAAAATGCCCAGATCCAACTCAAGCTCAGTTTTAGTTTTCAGGAAACTAAAAAGTGCTTGGGAAAAAATGCGCTGCATTTCTTTAGTACTTACTCTCCACTGAGTGAAAAAGCAAATGCAGCTTGTCACCCATTCTGATAGTTCATGTAGCTGAGGGCTGAATAACATCTGTCTCTCTTTTCCTTTATGCTGTGAGAACTAGGATAAGAAGTGTTTCTTTGGCTGTGAAATCATACTGGAGGCAGCAGCTGCTGAAGCAATCTAGCAAATGTGTAGGCAGGATACAATGCATCAAAAATTGATGCCATCTAATGGAACAGAGGTTTCAAGCAGACTGTACAGTGCCTGTTACAGTGTCCAGTTCTGCAAGCATGCAGGACTGCTTCCCTTCAAAAAACTTTCAAATGTCTGTCTTGGAAACAGTGTGCACTTTAAGCTGAGACCAATAATCATGCCAAGTACCCTGGAATGCGCTCAGCAGTCTGATTCTGTGAGCTTTTTCTTTCTAAAAGGAGTTTTAATTTAAATGAGTAATAAAGATTTGAATCTATTAAAAGAGCAGAAACAGTAGGAGAATTATCTTTTGTGATACTTAAAAAAATAATAATTTAATTTCAGATCAAGTAACTTTACGTAGTCCTCAAATGAATTTAGAACTGCATATGGGCATAATTCTTTTTTCATTGCTATCTATGGGAATTCATGAAAGCATAATACATAAATAAAATTTCATGTTCCAAGAATGGCCAACTGGAAAATCCAGATGTGGCTGAACTCAGCATCATCACATCCAATTTTATTATGGCTCTCATCAGCAGACACTTAGCACTTCTGAGCACTCAAATGATGCTTTTCAAAAAATCTAGAAGGATCTCATCAATTTGAAATCACACCCATTGTTCTTTACAAATACAGTTTTCAAAAAGAGCCTAACTAATCTCACTCTTGCTTCCAAGCACACTTGCTCTGTGCTTCCTCTACTAGAATGTTTTGAATAGTTTCACTGTTTCCACTGCATAATTAGTGTCTTCTGTTGTTTGTGTGGGTGTCTTGCTTGAAAACATACAACAAGGGGCTCTTTTAGATCTGAGAACATTTATGTGAAGTCACAATCATATAAGGAAAATCAAGGAATCATAGAATGTTTTGGACTGGAAGGGATAGTTAAAAACTATCCACTTACAAATCTCTGCCATGGGCAGGGCTGCCACCCACCAGATCAGGCTGCCCAGGGCCCCGAAAAGCAAAACTATTTTTAGTTATCCTATCTGTGCTACAAATTCTGCAATGAAGATATATGAATATCTCTTTGGGAAGGCAGAAGGGGCCTGGGCCCAAGCGCAGGTAATGTCCTAAATAGACCAGCAGATTAGATGTTAGTGTGGTATTAAACTGGACTCTGTACAGCTGAATTTCTACATTGCTAGGAAAGGAGATATCCTTAGGAAATGACGGCAGTGATGCCAATCTGAATGTAGCTGGGTAGGAATCAAATTGTCTCATGTGAGCTTACTTGCTGATCTCTTGCGCTGCATGGGAGGTGACATGTCCACATGCTTTCGGACTGCTGAGATGAAAAGGATACATCAACTTCTTTTATTTTCTGTAAATGTGCTTTTCATCTTTCTAGCCATATATGTTCCACCCCTGTGCATCCTCCCTGTCAGTTACCTGTCATCTACCTTATGTTCCAATTTTATAATTCATTTCACCTGAAGATAAGATTGTGCCTTAAATTATACATTCACTGGGAGACCAACTTCTCTTGCTTAACTACACAGCTATCTGTCACTCAGAAATACAGAGATGTGAAGCACTTTACGTATTCAAAGATCTGAAAGCTTTCTATAAAGAGAGATGAAAGTGCTGATGGCAAAAGGAAGCACACTAAAATTGTTGGCAATTGCTGATGCGGAACTTTCATTAGCTATTATGCAGCCTTTGACACATCAACCACTTTTACTAAGAGAATTAATGGGAGGCAGGACAGTAAGATTATTTCATCTTGTCCTTTGGGGCACTAACTGTCAAAGAGACGGATGCAGTAAATAAAGTGCTTAGGGTAACAATGACCAAATTGTGTGAACCTGATCTAAAGACAGCCCAGAGCATGACCCTGGACACTTAAAAAATAATAATAAATGTCCACGACAGTTGACTGAAAGACAGTTTTCTCTTTCTCCCTTCTTCCCTCCATTTTCTTCCTGTTTTTCCTGTTCTTTCTTTCTTTCCTTTTCCTCCTTTCTTCCTCTCTACTTTCTTCTCTTCCTTCTCTCCCTCCCTCACTCCTTCCTTCCCTCTTTCTCTCCCTCCCTCCTTCCTTTTCTCTTCCCCTTCCCTCATAAAATGACAGCACTTCAAACAAGAACTGTCAGTTCAGCATCTCTCTCTAATTTCCCCTAATAAGGCAGAACACTGTTCTGTCCTTAGTCAGCTGTGAAATCCTTTAATGCTCCTTTTGAGACAGAGAATACAACACTGCTTCCCTTTAAAAAGGCAGAGGACAAAAATTGTGAGTGGGCTCACAATACTTTTCAAACCATACACATGAGGTTGTTACTCTGCTCTCATCAGTGCAAGGTGGAAGTGTGACTGTGGCACTGGAGAGGCCAGTGAGCCCTGAAGCAGTCTGCTTTGGGGAGGACAGACCACTACCAAGGGATGGATGCTTGCTTCAGCCTCAAAGAACAAGTGTAGCTAAAGCCTTCCCTGCATAACAGTGATTCCAGGCCAACCATCAACAAAACCACCTTGCTGAATGTTCTAATACCTCTAGATAGGCTGGTCACCATATATAGGGCTTTTTTAATGAGCACAGTGAATTGACTCTTATTTGTTCACTTTTAATTCTTACTGCAATAATTCTTTTCCCTACGTTGTTTTAGGGAACTGTCATTGAATCAGGTGCATTCAGAAATGTTAGATTCCTTATGGTTTGTCATGCTGAATTTTTTAAGTAAAGGAAGTCTAGCTTTAATATATCAGTTTAGTCTTGTCTCCTTCTGATCTGCTCTCCTGGATTGCACCTTCTTGTTTCTATCTTTTCCTTTATCACAGAAAAGAATATTCATTGCTGACACCTCAGATTTAAAAAAAAAAAAGCAACAGACCCAGATAAACATCTTAAACATCATAGCATTTTAGAACTGCTAAAAATAATAGCTGATGCCAGTAGGGTTCATTAAGAGTACAAGTTGATGCAAGTAGTGCTTCATAAGTTAAAAAAACAACACAATCTCCTAGTTTTAGCTGGGAGCAAACATTTCTTGTCACAGTGCAATTAGTAACGAAGACTCACCAGAAGAAACTGAAAAAGAAGTTGGGTCTCCAGGGCTTTATTCTAGCATCCTGTCCCTGAAAAGCCTACTAATTCAAACGTTTGCCCTGAATAAAATGCTCGTGCTTTCTAACCAAATAAACAACAGCCTTGAACTCTGCAGTAATTCTTATGTCACCATTTGACAGCAGTTAGGAAATACATCTACAACTGTCACATATAAACAGAGAACTGTCTCACAGCACCTGAGAAACTTCACTCATTCATTTTTTTCAGGACAGTTGCTATTGGTGGTTTAATGAAAGACGGCAGAAATAGAGAAGGATTCTTAACTTCAGCACTAAATGTAATAATAATAGTTTTCTTGAAAACATACAGAGATATTCAAGTTACCTAGACTGAAAAGATTCTCTTTTGTCAAAGGTATATGGATGCAGAAGTTGTTGAGAGTTCTATCAGCTGAATATTTTCTTCTGTGCCTGTTGGTATGTGTATGCTTAGAGATATGCATAGTCCCAATTACTTCCTGTCCATTGGTAACCACCACACTGCCAGACTTCATTTTGTTAAGCATTCAGAAAGAAATCACCCATATTTTACTTACTTTGATTTAGTACGTTGTCATGAGGAGTAGAGCATGTTGGGGACAAAGTTTAACATAGCTAACAGAGACATCTTCTCCTGTCCCCACAACATTTTAAATGATGTCCTTCCCAGGAAGATTTAAAAGCAGTAAAATAGATGGATTAAAAAATGAATCTTATCAAACCTTCATTTCAGAGCTCTCAAGGGTAATAAGACTTAGGAGGCTACGAAAAGTCCTCTCATATTTCACACCTTAAAAATGATGGACACAGAATGCAATGTTGTTTGTTAAAAATGAGATTTATTTCTTTCTGAAATCTTAACGAACAAAACGAAGACTACTTATTTCCTGCTCCTTGCAGCTTCTGTTGCGCTTACTGTGTAGCTAATGTCATTACAGAAAAAACAGATAAACACTGTGCTGTGGTTGATGTTTGCTACAAGCAGATTCAGCTATGTGGAATCCAGAAAAAGCATCACTCAAAGAAAAGTGGTTTGCTTGAAAAACATCTCAGCAGCTGAGTTATTTTCAAATGTGTTCCTCTACAAAGTGTGCAACCTCAGAGAAGGTGCCTTGGCCAAACTGAGAGCTCACCCAACAGCCTGGGCTGCCAAGATTTAGAAGTGTAAAACACAAGTGATTTAAAAGCTTATGTGCATGCAGGGGAATTGGCACACGTTAGCTTTAGGAACACAACTCATGGCTCTTGAGTTACCAACTGGTCTCAGAGATCCAGGGCAGGCACTGTAGTAATTTTTACAGTAGGACTGAAGTCAGATCTGGAGAAGGACAGCTGTGAGCACTACAACCAGTGGAGCTCTGGCAGATTTTTATCTCAGGTTAGAACCCTTCCTCACTACAGGCTTGACTCCAAGTTCCTGAATTTGTGATTTGCAATCCACGTGTTTTGGGGAACCAACTGAGAATGTGATAGAAAGCTGATGTTCTTTGATCAAGAGGCTTCTGATACTCCACCCTACCCTTCTTGTCAAACAAACAAACCAATCAGATTTTATCAAGTTGATCACATCTGTGAAAAGCTTTGTCAGTTCTTTGAATTTAATAATCATATTGTTTTTCAATCTCAGTACTTAGGTGTTCGTGTGCAGTACTTTAATGCAGCCAGCTCTTTCTTGTTGAGCAAACTATTCTTTGCCACCAAAGACCAAAGCGCTACAGACTTAATGAAGATGACCCTAGCACACATGAGAGAAGTAGATCACGGCCTCCTTTCACATCCAAAGAAACCAGATGCACTTCCAGCCAGCAAAATTTCCTGCAAGCTGTAACTCCAATGTTGTTAGCTACTGAGCCACCCACAAACATAAGTAGTAATCAGCTGCATTTTTGGTTGAAGGAGGAAGTGTTTCTTTGCAGGAATTGAAGCAAGACTAAAACAGATAGTGCTTTTCTTAAGCTTTGAGACTATTCCTGTGAGAAATGTTATTAAAAATCCAGTTGCAGTGGAAGACAAGATGCAGATCTAATTCTTGTTTCTTCAGGCACAAGCAAGTCCTTCTCCAGCCACACTCTTAAATAATCTTTCCATCCAATGTCACTTAACATTAAATAATCATGTTCTGAGTATTTATCCCACATACTGCATTCACTTCTCCTGGATGCCAGCAGTCCTTCTGAGGGAAGACTGTGTTATGACGAAAACACGAAAACAAGACTGTTTTGATGCAGCACAGCACTGAAACAAGCTTATTTGGTGTTTCTCAAGACACCTGATCTTTTTCTTTCAGTGACAGTCTCAGATATTAATCAAAGACATTACTTCAATCAAAACTGTCCTGAATCTCATATACTATCTCACAGAGTTCTGATTAGAACATCTACAAAGCTGTTCCATTCCTACTTTCTATTCTACAATACAGAATATATAAGATAATAAAAGCAAAAGGGGTACCAGCAGATCAATCTGAAAGATTACTTCATCTCCAGGAACACAGACATTAAATTTTCATGGGAAGGGACCACAACATTTTGTTTCTAGAATATGAAGTTTTGTGAACCCAATAGAAAGTCTAATGCTGAAGTGGTTGGATCTCCTGCAGAGAGGAAGAAGGGGCCCTACATACAAGCTGATGAGAGCCTAAGAAAACTCATGACATCCAAGTGGCAAACAGATGAACTTGAGTAATCTGAGAAATCTCTCACCTGTTATAAAAGCATAAAATCATTTGAGTTGGAAAGGACTCTTATATATCATCTAGTCCAACTCCCCTGCAATGAACAGCTCAAAAAAGTTGCTCAGAGCCCCATCCAGCCTGACCTTGAATGTTTCCAAGGATGGGACATCCACCACCTCTCTGACTTTTCAAGTCATGTTATCTTTCTCTGCCTCTTGGCAGCCTCATTTTAGAACAGTAACAATGTCAACTTTCCATCCTTGTAAGGTCTCATAAGATCTATGGATGGGAACAACTTAAAAATTGCCTGCAGTTTCGTGATAATATGCTGCCCCATAACACAGCTAATCTCTTTCAGAAGAAAAACAAAGAATCTTGCTCAGTTATTATTTGCCAGCATTGCTGTTCCAAATTTCTTTTTAAAATCTGCTATTAGTGCACAGCTTTGCTGCTTATGATTCCATATGAAGCACAAAAAAACAAAGCATACATCAATTTTTTTAATAAATGAAAAAGATAGTATGATTCGTTTTTGAAAATACATCACGCAATTTAAGTACGCGTAAAGAAGAACTTCTTACACTTTTAACCTAAAAAAGTCACCATGAAAAGTAATATGAATCTATGTAAATAGCCATAACCCTATTTATAAAATTGATGTTAGTCTGTAGATGGTGTGGGAGGCAGAATGACAAGGCTGGACTCTTTTCAGTGGTGAGTGGAGACAGGACAAGGGGAAACGGCTGGAAACTGCAGCATAGGAAGTTCTGCACAAATGTGCGCAAGAACTTCTTTACAGTGAGGTGACGGAGCACTGGAACAGGCTGCCCAGGGAGGTGGTGGAGTCTCCTGCTCTGGAGATGTTCAAGACCTGCCTGGATGCCTACCTGTGCGACCTGCTGTAGGGAACCTGCTTTGGCAGGGGGGTTGGACTCGATGATCTCTGGAGGTCCCTTCCAACCCCTACAATTCTGTGAGTCTGTGATTCTGTGATTCTCTGATTCTGTGTTTGTATTATTTATTTGAGTAATCTGTTTCTGGGCATTACAAGTATTGTCAGGAAGACATATATTTTTACTGCACTTTTTTTTCAGACTTTTTCCAATAATCTTGACTTCCTGAAACACTTATGAGAATACAACAGCCAGAGAAAGTTAGAAATAGTATACTAGTTTTGGTTCCAAGCTGAAACCAACTTCTTGTCACTTATTCTAACTGCTGTAATGACAGAATATGTAATTTATTTTGTTTTGTGAATTTTATCATTTCAAACAAATGCTTATTTCCAGAAATTATTTGAAAACTGCTCCTCTCCTCTGCCCTTGTCAGAAACAAATATCAGCAAATTGCTGATGTCTAGGATTCAGTGTTCTATACCAGAAAAATAGTGTCAGAATTAGCACTGCTGCTTTCAGAGGCACACAGCACTTAAAAGGCTAACAGATTAGTTTATAGATAACTCTTGGTACCAGAAGGAAACTTGATTTTGTTTTCTTGCCATCTAGCTCCTGCAAAACATATTTTCCTGTTAGTCATCTCATATATTTGGCTAGATGAAGTAAGAAGTTTTTTTGAGCAGATAGCGCCACATATGGAGTACTGTTTAAGGATTTAAGGATAGGGATCTGGAGAGAGTCCAGTGGAGGTCCACAAAAATAATGAGGAGCCTTGGAGCATCTCCCTTACGAGGAAAGTCTGAGAGACCTGGGACTGTTCAGCCTGGAGAAAAGGAGACTGAGAGGGGTTCTTATCAATGCTTATAAATATCTAAAGGGCAGGATTCAAAGTTAATGAGGCCAGGATCATTTCAGTGGTGCCCAGTGACAAGGGGTAACGGGCACAATCTGTAACACAGAAAGTTCCATACAAACATCAGAAATAACTTATTTACTGTGGGGATGACAGAGCACTGGATGAGGCTGTCCAGAGAGGTTGTGGAGTCTTGTTCTCTAGAGACATTCAAAGTCCACCTGAATGTTTTCCTGTGCAACCTACTGCAGGGAGCCTGCTTTAGCAGGGGGTTGAACTACATGATTTCCAGAGGTCCCTTCCAGCCTCTATGTTTCTGTGATTCTGTGAGTCTGTGTTTGCTTAATACTAATTCTAAAAATACAAGGCAAACAGAAAAATTTGAGCATTGTAAGGTACTTACGTACCTTCAATACTTGATGTACTCAGATGACAGAGTTCTTGTTCAGGAATTATGGGCAGTATCTTACGTGCAGTAAGTGGAATCAGTTGCTTGTTGGCCTTCACTGTTAAAAGTTAAAATATTTTTAACTCACACTGTTAAACAGCAAATACATCAGCAGAGTGTTTGAATACGCAAGTCTGAAAATCATTGAGAACTATCTGATTACAAGACAGATGTGCATAACCAATTTTTCAATAGGATTTCAGTGTCCAGAGATGCAAATGTATGTCTGGAAGTCCTGAAAGTATTAAATATGTTCTGGTATTTCACTTCTGCATGCTATTTAGACTACAGCAGGCTGATCTGAAGTCTTTATGGAAAGCAGCTGGGAGGTAGGCAACTAAATTGCTTGTGAAAAGTTTACTAGTAGTGAAAATACATGCAAATTTGGGTTTAACTAGAAGTCTCCCTGTATGGGAACTGTTGAGTCAAGGCCTGAACCACTGATTGACCACCTGAGGAAAGGACTGGGTCAGCCCTGAAGCACAGGTGAAGGTGATTCAGCTGTGTGAGCAGAAGTCACAGGTGGTGCCTGGCTTCATCTCTCCTAGACCCCATTTAAGGGCTGACTGCCTCTAGGGAAGGGTTTCTTTCTGGAGATCTCCTCTCTGTGGAGTCTTTCCTGGTAACCTAGATCTTTGGATACAGGTGAGCATTCCTTTCCTGTTTGTTTCTTTTCCCATTTTCACCATGGCAATCTTTCTGTAATACCCACTGTAATGCTTCTCAAATACAAAAGCCTATCATTGGCTGGTTGAGAAGAAACAAATTTAGAATGTAGACTTTCCAATTCATTTTAATATGAGGACAGCCCAGATTGTCACTCAGGAACATTTAATGTGGTTTCACATAACATGTCATATGCACAAGGAGAGTATCTAGGTGTCATATGGTGGTTAAAAGAGATGGCATCATGCACCTCAGAAACAGGGAGTGATGCAGTGATGCCTTTAGCACACTGCCAACAAGGATGCTGATACAGTATCTTACTGGAGTACAGGTAAAGAAAGAGTGAAATAGTGTTGCCAGGCTAATGAAGTCAGAGTTATTGATGCAATAATGTATTTTTCAAAGAGCTACAGAAGAAGTAGAACCCAAAATATTTTAACTTCAGGCTCACCCTGTCTCTGACAATTCATGACTTCAGTAAACTTACAAGTGGGTTTCTGTTGTGTTTATAACAAGAGAATGTACTGTAATATAAGTTTAGCTTCATCTCTTCTTCACTTACTGTATCTACTGACCAATTAAAAAGTGAAGTTTGGATCTTGGTAATTAAGAAACTGTATATGAAAAATAAAGCTAAAATAAATAAACCTAGGGCAAATTTTAAAAACTGATCTTATTTCACCCTCAGGCTGAACCCTGGAAGAGAATGTGGGCTTATATTTCTTTCAGAGCCTAAGTGCAGCACTGTTCTGCATGCATGCAAATAGAACAGAGAAATAAAAGACCAATCATTTAAAAGCACCCTACTGAAAGCATACAAGAGCTATAAAAGCTCGTTAAAATTACCTGTCCCTTCTTGATTTTATTCTCCTTTCTGAAACAGCGGAAGACCCCAAATGGTAATTAACTTTCACATTTTTTTTTTTCCTCTGGAGATGTTGCATCTTTGAAATTAGCAAGTTTGTGTTTAATATTAAACATCATGATAAGCTTTGCTTCTTTCAGCATTATTCATCTAAGTTACAATGGCAAGGGCAACAGCTATGTCAGGAACTAACTGGGAAGGATCAGAATCAAATATGTGATGCCTCAATTGGCCAAGATTAAACAAATCTCTCCTGTCTTGGCTTTGCATCTACTTAATACAGTAGAAGCTGTATCCTGCCTGTCCTCATGCTAAAAAGAAAATGTATCGCAGAATACAAGGACTGAATCTGAATTCAGTGGGATTGCAGCCCTGGCACTACTGAGCCAGGCATTGCTTCTACTTCCAACCTGTCAACTAGCCTGAAGTTGCAGCAGTGCCTCGGAGAGATGGCAGAATATGGCACATTTCCTTTAATCTTGTAGGCTGGGAACCATTATTTTAATATGATAGCATGGAAAGCAATGTAGGAATTCAAGTGACTGCTGGGAAATTTACCTAATTGTTTCTTTCATGCAAATTATAGTTGCAAAGCATGCTTATATCAGATGGTATGGATGTCACAAAATGCAAACAATCCAGAAGACAACAGCAGCCCTGAAACTCTGAGGTTTTTTTATTCTCCAAATCCTGGCTGTCACTGTGATCCTGCATCATTCTTCTTTAAGGATGAGTTATAAAACTACCATTCAATTGCTTAGTGGCTTTTATAGCATTCTATAGCATATGTTTTAAACAAGCCACCCCACTTCTTATGTTCCTGGAGACTCCAAAATTTCTGTACCTGAGATCTGCAACTATTTCTTTTTGCTTGCAGCATTTAATCTGTTTTTCTGCTTTTCCATTTCTCTTAGCCTGAACAAAGAGCCACGCAGACTTGCTGATGCGTTATCTTTTATTTTTATTTTTTTACTTTTGATTGGCATACTTTGGGCTTTTTAAAAGTTACTTTTCCATTTGAAATGTAGATATAAATGTTGATGTACTTGCTTCACTGGATAGTTTTAAGTGTTACATTTTATGCTAAGACTGCAGCAACTGAGCTCTGTATCACCTTGCTGGTGGCCTTTGTTCAAGTTGACCACTGTTCCCCTAGGAGAAACACAAAACACCTCCTCAGCAACAAAAGTCATGTGAACTGCTGGCCAACAACTGCCCCAGCCTGACCCCCAGGTATGGCTGGAGTGGCTTCTGCTCTTGCTGTTGTGTTATGAATGGCTGCAAGCCTTCAGGAGGTATTTCTATTGCTGCTGGGAATTGAGGCCAAAACATGGATGCTGGTCTTTACTAACAGTAACTCAGCAAACCATGGAGTAGCCAAGTGCTGTGTGCATTTACTGACTCTGGGCTACATTCATTTTCACTAGAGAAAACTTGTAACTCTAAGATTTCAGATAAGTAGCACGGATGTGAACATACAAATGCATGTTGTAACTCACAGGCTAATGAAATATCAAAAATGCTACTACTTCAGTAAGTACAGTCTTTGGAATACTCAGTACTGTCACTGAGATAAGTTCAAAATCTGTTTTGGCGAATGAACTATGCACATGAATTAACTTGGCATGGCTAAAAGCCAGGAGTTTCATAATATAATCAGAAGAAAACATACATTGGAATTAACTTTGCATTACTGTAGCAGACTCAGAGAGTGAGTCAGGGAATCCTGTATTTGTATACCAGAATGTAATGAGCCAAAGTATGACTTTGTGAGCCAATGGAGTGTTGCTGAAAATGAGAGAAGACAATTTCAGCAATGTGGCAGGCGTTATGTCTGAACTAAGATAGCTCACAAAGACTGTAGAGTGCTAATATGATGATATTAGCAATATGGTTCCCTTTCTGTACACTACTCTTCTAGAACAGAAGTGGGAAGAGGATTTTTTCCATCAGACCTTATGCTGCATTCAAAATAGGAAAAAACTGAATGTGATTTTTTTAATGCTGGAAAAATGAGATATGGAATTTATACAGGTGAACTTCTATGTACTCACACTGTAGCTTATAACCCATATACTTACATTAATGAAACTTCCAATATGAATCTGCTAGGCAGATTCACTCCTAGGTATTAAACCTCTTATTTATGCAATCTGTATTTCTTGTGTAACTATTTTCTTTCTTTCTTTCTCTGTTTCTTTTCCTTTTTTTCCTCTTTTTTTTTTTTTTTTAACAGTGTAGTATATAGTTCATACACACACAGGTAATTATGTGCCATGCCCCCAGGCTTAAATTCCTTTTAGGATACAGCTATACAAGAACAGCAATATTTAATGAGTTGCTAATAGTGGAAAAGGTATTTAAGTAGTTTGGCAAAAGTGGGTTAGGGAAAAGGTATACAAGCAGCACAAGTACAGCTACCTTCCATTTTGTTGGAATTGAGGCGATTTAAGCATTGAGCCACATGTGACAATTTAGCAGTTTCTGAGGTCTTTTAGAACACCTTGGGGGAATACTACCTAGTTCTCATAATTGCTGTTATTAATTTAGTAAGCTGTTCCAAAACCTCTTCTACTGCCTCTCCAATTTGGAAAAAAAAAAGGAAGTCTTGAAATAAAAGTCTCTGATGTGGGAATCTCCCTAAGATTCTCTGTCATGAACACAAAGCAAGAAATTGATTTTTTTTTTATCTATACTTTGAACTACTACTGTCAAATTCTATCCAGTATGAAAATGTTCCATGTCTGGAAATATAGGTCAGCCATTTAAAGAACTTCTTGCACTGAACAAAAAAGCATCCTTTGCTGTTGCAGCTGAATAAAGGGAAACTGCATTATCAGTTTAAGCCATGCAAGGAAATGTTTTATGAAAACAATGACAGATCCAAAGTCTAGATAACATGTACCACTCTGTATGTACTTTTTTTTAGCTTAACAGAACAGTCACGGTACAATCTACATTCATGATCAGAAGAACACACTAAAGCTTCCCTAACATCACTGTATGTGCCAGTTCCTTTAAAATACCATGATTTTCTAAAGTCAGAAAGTTATCATTTCAGTCCCACCATAGAGAATATACTGTAGATCTTCCCTCCTTGCCACTGGGCTGGATGGTGCACAGTGGCAATAACAGTTTTAGATACGAGCTGTGAATTATCTATTTGTAGTAACACATTAATGCTAAGCCACTAATTTACTTTGCCTCCTTAAGAAATCATTCTCAAAGTATGAGTTTCCTTCTTTGTCTTTCCTTATCCTTTTCTGAACTCTGAATGCTTTGAGAAGTATCTAACATCTTTTCATCCATGAGATACCTTCCCACCCCCTTGTAATACAGAGTTGTTTATTTTCATTACGGTGTTTCCAGGAGGTTTGTACTGTCTTCAGTGAATCTCAGTGTTATGCTTCTAGACTTCAAGCTACATACTAATGATAAATTAAGTACTATCAAGGGCTGTCAAATAAGTAACCTATCACAATTTATAACCGACTATAACAGTTGCAAATCCTGGAGGTAAAATGAAGTAAATACTTTCCATATGGTTCTGATTCTACTTTAAGTTGTATAAATTGGAAAGTTGTCTGGATTCAGTAGAATCATAGTGTGTGAAATCAATGAATATCTGATTAGAATAAAGCCAATTGTTGCAGTCTATACAACTAAGCATCATTCTGAGTTAAATGTATAGATTGAAGCAGGAGGAAGTAAGAACAACAAACCAATATGGGATTCCTGTTCTCTTCAGTATAATAAAACTACATTTGAATTTCCATAAAATTTCATAATCAAAAATGCCTTTGGATATTCAGCACTAAAGATGACATTGTGCTAATAAAACAGGTATGGTGAAGCTACTAAAGACAAAAGATGTCAGGGGGATAATCCCTTTCCTGGGGGATGAAAATAATGAGCTCATAAATATATCTTAGAGGTAGCTTGTGCTCTAAAACTAAGGAGTATAAATTGTACTCCCAGGAGAGTTCAGACAGACAGGGAGCTATTCACTCTTTTCTAGGTAAAATTGAAATGCCATGAGTTACTGAGTTGTAGAGGGAAATTGCTTCTTCTCTAATTCTTCAAGAATTGACAAGACAAACAGCGAGGTACCAAAGCCTAGACAAATTTAAAGCCATTTATTTCATTTGCTGGCTCTGTAGCTGTTCTTGTCTTGAATTCGTTCAAAGCTATTATTCTTTATGTTTATGTTTATCTTTGAAAAGACAGAGCTCCCTTTGTGGAACCAGAATCGATTGAAGTTATTGCAGCATATGACTTTTCCTGCAATATCAGTAACACTCAGAGCCATATTTGCTAATTTACCCTCACACAGATTTAATAATAAATTCTAATTTCTGCAACTAAAACCTTGAGGTTAGCCATGCCCCTTAATTTATCTGTGCTAAACACACTATACTCTCAGAAGACCATGTTTTAATACTGATCTGAAGCTATTAAATTTTACTTTGTTGGGATTTTTCTCTAGCACTGAGCTGCTAAGTGCCAGCAGAGACATTCTTTGGGCCTTCATTGCTATCTTTGTCCATCCCATCCTTTAGTAGTTGATTTTGTTGAGTCATAAATACATACAGCATACATATGATTGCCTACATTTGTGTACAATTTCCATACACTAACAAAGTACTTGGCTGCAAGACTTTAAATATGGCACACAACATGACTAAAAACTAAATTGAAGTATTAAAAACAACAGCAACAACAAAGGAGAACAGTCGTTAATGCAAAACATTTGGAAGACTGACAGAAGCATTCCAACATATTATATGTCATTGTACAGACTCACTGTGAGAATTATTTATTTCTGATATGAATATGTTTCCATAACATAAGCCAGATCAATTTTTTATAGGATCAGGGTAACTCTGAAACAAAACAGAGGCATCCCTTGGCAGGAAAGACTCAAAAGCATTTCTTGAACTCTCCATGCTTCAAGATGTGTTAGCTTTTTATTTCATTTTATATTACCTACCAGGAAATTGATGAACTTTAGTAGCAAAAATGGTTCTTATATCAAGTCTGGAACCACTTTTCCCTTGATCAGTAGAAAATGTTGCTGTTCCTCTGTGCTTACAATCTGTTTTAAACAAAATAAGATATCCTTAGCTATAAAATTCTATACATCAGTCATTAGAGGGGAAGTGGGTAAACCTCTTATATTTAAACTGTTTAACATCTCCCATGAAAAAGAACAGGAAAGTTTTGTGATAAGGTCTTGAGAAAAAACTTAGCCTGATGGTTTTTTTATTTTTCCAAATTAAATTTTATGTCTTCATGCTTGCCCTTTTCAAATTATTCTTTCCCTCCTCTGGAGCATGTATCTTGAGAACGTTTTGGAAGGTTATCAAAAAGGTCACTCTGCACATTCCTGTGGAGGTTAAGAATCTCAGCACTAACAGTGGAATAGCTAGAGTTGAGTGTACTAGAATCCTAGGAAGCCTACAGCTTATTTGCTAGTTACCACAAACTAGCAAATAAGCTGTAGGCTTCCTTGGATTCTAGTGCACCTTTGGGAGCACAGTATAGGAACGAGCTCTGTATTACTGAGAGAAAGAGATGATCTTAATAGCACTGATCTGTAAAGACAAAAGCCCAGGTTCTCAGCATCCAACAACAGACGTGCCCCAGTATTTTTATTTAGGGAATGCTAAAAAAGAAAAATCATCTTTAAGAAATTAATAAAATTAGCACTATTTAGGTCATGGTATTTTGTGAACACACAAGTGAGATACAATATGCTGAAATCCTAAGTCTACATTCTGATGGTTAATGTTAAAGGAAGCTCTGGAATTGGCTTTAAGGCAAGTCTGGAAGAGTAATAGTGAAGAACTAATTTCTAATTTAGCTCTTTTGTCATGGATCAGTTGCAAGCTCCTTCAAATGTATTTGGCTATTTTATTTTATGCACTTTTGGAAATAACTTCGTTAATGTTTCAAAGAGTCTCAGAGTCTGCCAAACAGAATATCTTGGAATGTCTCAGGAGGAAATGAATAATTCCACATTTCTTACCAGATTTCAGTAGTACTCAGAAATTAAGAGAAAAAGTACTGACTGAACTATGATAGTAAAAATTCATAGCAGCTGTTTTAGGCACATAGTACTACTCTGACAGATTCTTCAGGCACCACTGAAAAAAGCAGTATGTAGACTTTTGATTAAAGATGGCAGAATGTATACATATAAGGAATAAAACTTTCAAATCTAATTTGTATGTTTTTGTCTTTTTGCCAGTAAGATACTGATGTTGTACATGATGTAATAAATTGTAAATTTAACTAATAACAACACTATTCCTCTACTAACAGGAAATGCTCTCTAGAAACCGATCAGAAACCAGGAGCTCACAAAGGGCATCTCTTCTTTCCTGCTTGTGCCCAAAACAATTCTGAAAAACTTGCATTTAATAGAAAACCAATGTTTAAGAGTAAAGGTAGTAAATCGTTAATTATCACTACTAGCAGCTCTGTATTAAAATGAGATGTTATGACTCAGAGCGTAGACAATAACACTCATGACATTTGCATTTTGAAAGCTACCACAAAAGTCCTTCAAACCAGAGCATTTAATAGCCCACTTATAAAGATCTATTTTACAGTTCATAGAATTTGTACATATGTTAAATAGCATTCAGATTTTGGTTCCTGCAATAAATAAAAGGTCATGTATTTTAACCACGTTCATATGATGTGATTGTTTTGTCATTTTGAGGGGCTGTCATTTTAAGCAACTGTTTCACTTATTAATTAAAAATATATGTATAAAATATTTACATTATGTAGATACAAAAAAAAAATCACAAACATTCTGATCATGGAAACATCTTGTGTGTAGGCACTCTTCTGCCTTCTGTTCAGCTGTCATTAAAGCTAAACTCCTATTGCTCTTTCATTACAAATCTGCCTGTGAATATAGTTGAGATGATGATAAGCTACATGCATTCCCATTATTTTTTTTATTACCATTGTGACCAAGGTCTCCCCATTCTGTAGCTCCCAACTACAAGGAGAATGCACATCTGTCTGTTAATAGGAACTAAGTTCTGGTTCTCAAGAAGCTTCCTACCCACTCAGGCCTGACACAAGTAAAAAGTCTCAGAAAAAACTGCTGTGAAAAGCATCTGAAAGCTATTCCATTAGGTAAGAGGGTAAGTAACTTTTCACAGTGATGAAAGTGTGTGCTCCCTGTACCATATAGCTCTGACTTCTAATAAAAAATAAAGACCAGCAGCTGATGAGGTCAATTTTCTGCATAGATTTTGTGCAGAGTACTTTATCTTGGTTGTCCAAAAGTCTCATGCTTAGAGTACTCCTACACTTTTATTCTTGCTTATTCATGGCATGTTGCTAGAAGAAATACTGTGAATCCTAATTTCAGACTCTGTCCGAAGTGAATTGCATAGGAAGACCCTGTTTTGTTCAATGAAGGCAATGTGTAGAAATAATTGTTTCTGTTTCAAAATAAGTTATTCCATAGCAAAGTTAGTTTCTGAATTGCTTTGAGTACAAAGGGGAATTTAAATCTGTTTAAAATGGTCACTGGCATCTCTTAAGGCTTAGATCAAAGATCAGATGTATTCATTTCATCTACTGAAATAAGTCTGAAACCAGAAGTTCTTTAGACAAAAGACCATAGGCTACCAATTATGTGTCAGAAAAAAAAAAAAAAAGCTAAAACAAACAGACTTCATTTAGTAGCAAAAATCTTGGATTTGCATCCACAATTCAAAGATGAAAGGGATCAGTCATCTGAGTATTCCAGAAGTTTCTACAACACTTTGATTAAAATACTGTTGTCTGAAACACATAATCAATAGCTTTGTTATTGTCAATTTTTCATAATGTAGATGTTTAGTGCAGGTGAACTTGTTACTTACAGTTTTGGCCATTCTCTTGGACTATTTTGTAGATGACAACTGAAACAGTCAAGACAATAACAACTGGAATCATACTGAGCCAAATGATCTTCGTCATACACATTGGATCTGTCCATTAAATGTAGAAGAGATCAAATTAAGCTGGAAATCACAATTTTACATGCAGCTCAGCCAGTAAGAAAATGCTTCAAAGATCAATGTTTATATTTAACGTAAAACAAGGAAAATACATATCCTCTCTTTCTTTGCTTTTTAATAGGACACAGAAGAAAATGATTTACTGTTCGATGTTCACCTGTACTGGCACTCTCAATTTCCGGGTCCATTTTCACGTATCAAAGAAGGAAAAATATTATACATAGAAATTTTCTTATTAAAAAGTAAGAAAATACCTCCCATAGAAAGCCCATGGGGAATACATTCAACAAGCTATTAAAAGCTAGTTTGGGGAAGAACTGGTGAGTCTTGGTGTGAAAAGGAGGAAAGCTGCTCTTGCAGACTATGGCTACTGAGAAATTAAACCACATTCCTGTGGAATCAGTTCAGTACCTAGTGCAAGCCTGAACTGTGTACCACAGAGGAAGGGCATGGAGAACTTGCCTCCCTAGAAGACCTTTGAAACCTCTTTGGCAGCTGCATGCTAATGTGTACCTTGACGTTGTCTAATAAAATATTAAAAAAAACAACAACAACAAACAACAATTTGACTCTGACTCATAAAATCAAATTACCGGCCACAGCCAAAACATTGTTTTCCCTCTCTTGATGTAGAATACCACAATTAGACCTATATTAACTTTGAATGCCTTCTTCTCTGAGAGGTCAAGCGGTAACTACCAATAAGGCTTTCAAGTAAGCACAGTTCATCCCTCCTAATTCATAACTAAAAAGTACTTTTTATAGAAGTCATTTAGGCCTTCTCCTTTCAGGCATGATACTGTACTCCATCTTGTAGTAACTTGTATTGGCTTGCATGCCAATAGTGCCCAGTCAAAGCTCTGTGAACCTCTCCAGCTTTGTTTTGAAGTAAGCGAAATAGTTGTTAATTTTTATCAATAACTTGAAAATACTATTAGGAAATGGTGGTGAGATCACAGTTTTAAAATTAGTGGGCAAGTTGAAAACTATGCTCATATGCAGTCCTATTTTAAAAAAAAAAAAAAAGTTCCCTCTCTTTACTAGAATTTAACCTGGAAATATTTTACACTGGTTTATCCAACTCAAAAACGCTTAACTTTTCCAGCAAAGACATAGCATAAAATGCATTTGCCTTACAAAACTAAATGAATGTAATAATTCAGCAATTCCCCAATGGAAAGTGTAGCATACATGGGCTGGAAGGCCTGACTGTGGTCAGGCAACCTCCTGCAGCACAAAGAGAAACTTAAATAGCTGTCAGGCTGTCCTCAGGGAAAAGTAAGCCTAGCTCAGCAGAATATTTCTCTTTTAAGAATTGCTGAAAGTAGGATGTTGCTGCACAACATTATGAAAAGTCAAACTTGTCTAGTGGTTGTTCTGCCTTCAAAGTTAACTGAATTGTTTAATTTACCTTCTAGACAGCAGAATTATGCCATAAAGGGGAAGGGAAAAAGAAAAAAAGTAATTCCAGCTTTTTTCAAACATGCATTTTGTAAGTCTGTCATCATTAAGTGGAGAAAAAAATTAACATTTACAGATGCTTATTTTTCTGTCTTGTTTCTAGGGAAAAAAAAAAAAACAAAAAAAAAACAACAAAAAAACCAAACAAAAAACAACAACAACAAAACATAGCAAAACATGTCAGCTGACTACTTACAATGGTCTTGTACTAAGGGATGATCAAAATTGCATTGTTTTGTTGTGAAATAGTTTCAAATGGTTGCTGAAAGCAGATAACTACCTACTGCAAATTTTTTGCAAGATGCAAATTGTTTCCAAATCTCCTTTGTAACTTACATTCCATGTAAGACTTCAGTTGCAGTGAAATATTCATACAGCTGTTTTGGTCATTGATCATAGCCATTAGACACGAGTGATTTAGGTATTCTTCAGCTGCACTTCTTCCTCTGACTATGGAGCTGTTGATGTGGATTTCCAGAATGTAGTAGGTACTATGCTCTACTTCTTCATTTGCATGAAGCATGGTGAAATTAAAATATTTATAAAAAGAAATAGCATCTTCTGTGTTCACTTCAGATGAGTCTTTGGCTATAGGAAATACAAGGTTACAAAAACAAACAAACAAACAAACCTGTTAAATAACAGTATACAACTCTCAGAGCAATAAAATATTTTCTCTGTCTTATTTAAGAAAATAAATAGTGCATTTTTACATTACTGACTGTAATAAAATGGACAAAAGGATGTAAGGATCCTGAACAGTTATGAGGAGTACTGTTTATCCTTAAAAAATACATTTCCTCAGCAAATTATTGCCCTTTTTTTTTTTTAATCTTATAACTAGCTTCAAATCTTTTGTTGTTGTTATTGCTCTGTCACATTTTGTCAAAGCTAACAAAGCAAAAAACTGAGCTATGAAAGAAAAGAAACAATAAAAGCTGTACAATGATAGACATCTGCAGTGCACATCTAGCTCCTGTGCTATTAGTTGCAGAAAGCCTTTGTTTCACTTCAAACCACAAGCTGTGAGGCTGGTAGAACATTAACAACAAATACAGGTAAATGAGACATTGTCAGAAGTGTTAGAGTTGTATGTGTATAAGAACAGAGTTTGTCCACATATTTGTTTGTTTTGGTATTGTCCACGCTTGGAAGGACAGCTCTATTCTTCAGTAAGGAAACGATGCAGTTTAAAGAAAACTGCATTTCTCACATTCAGGTCTTGGCCTCTTGCCCCTGTTGCTGGCAATGTTAGGAGAGCAGAATTCAGAAGCTTCTCCTCCTCCAAATGTTTTCAGATACACTGCAAATGCATAAGGCACAGAAGAAACATACTGCTACTACTCTGAAAAACGGTGGATGTTGCTAAGTGTTTCATACTGCTGGGCCTGTCCTTATTCAGTGCTGCCTTCTATTAAACAAGAAATGCCACTAACTGTTTATGGACATTACAGATTATATGCACAAAAATGGTCATTTAGTTCTTTTAATTTCTGCATAGCTGCCATCTAAGTAGTTACCATCTTTGATTTATTTCTTCAGATACTTGATTGCAAATTTTCATCATATAATATCAGCCATCAGCAAGCAGAGATCCACAGTGACTCTCAAAATTAAACCTATCGAGAAAACTCATCAGAAACTATAGAACTCTACAAATAAATATTTTATAAAATCCAGCAAGAAAAAAAAAAGAGATAAAAATGCATTCGTAAAACCCAGCTGGTAGGGGTCAAATTTGCAACAGCAATAGTTGGAATAGTTGGACAAGGCAATCTCGCCGCACTTCTTGCAGACCTTAAGATAATGAATGCTCCCCCATACACAAGATCCTCAAAGAAAAGAAATCAGCACTCACAGCCAAGAATTACTGCTGCTACAAACATAACAAAAAACCTGTGTTTTGCAGCAATGCAAAGAATGCTATTAGAAAAAAAAATATATCAAACCAACCAACCAACCAAAAAAACCACCAAACAACAGCAGTACCTGCAGAGTTTGCAAAGACAATGGAGAACCAGTGCCATATTATCATCTTCAACTACCAAATCAAGCCATCAAGTCTTATGCTATAATTGACTACTTCCAAATAAAGTACTTTGCTTTTCCTACTTACTTTTTTTATCTATTGATCTTGATTCATGATGATCAACATTCACATCTCTGCTGGATTCAGACTCTGAGTACTTAGTATTTGACTGTTGTTCCCTACTAGAAGACAGGCAAATACATGGAATATTCTGGAAATTTGAATGATTTACAATGGTCTTCAGTAACACAATCTGATTTTCTCTTTTTTGTTGCAGCGATCTTTTGCAGGAATTATTAAAAGTACAAAGTGGAAAGGTGGTGCTATTTAATGAACAGGAATCCATGCACGATACAACTACAGTGTTAGCTGAAAAACAAAGAGTACTGTATTAGCAAAACCATCTCTTCATGTAAAATATCCTTTAGCCATCATACAATGAAACGCACTTCTTGAGGGTTATGGCAGAATACTGCATGCACCATCAAGCAAGGAGAAGAAAGCAGAGAATATTTTCCCAACATACATTTTGGATTTTATTACTGAGTTACATGGAATATCTTTCAGTACTGACTGAGTTGCATTTGTGGTGATCTCTAGTGTCAAAGTTGTTCAAATTTCAGTTTGCTTGAAGAGAAAATGAAACCCACTTGTGTTTGAAACAGGAAACATAGCCCTGCGACCATGCAGTTGCAACCCACCAGAGTGATCACACTGTAAAATAGTTAGGAGAATGAAAACTTTCTCTCCAATGACACTTAAACCCACAGAAATACTGCTGAATCCTCCAGCCACCCTTCCTGCTTTTTTTCTATTCAATCATTAAACTTAATGCACAGTGTTTTTGCTAGTTGAATTTCAATACCAAATTACTGCAGCTGAAGCACATTAATGCAACAAATAACAAAAAAAAAACCAAAAACCCACATAGTTTCAATTATTAATGCATGTTATTTTAAATGTCTTTTACATTAAAGCAAGGCTTTCCTATATGAACTGTGTATTTCTACTTGAGTTAACCTTGAACTATTTTTTCAGTATGAAAGAAATTGAAGATTAAAAATCTTCTGGGACTCCAACATGAAATATGTATTTATGAACACAAATAATCTCTCCCATGAGTTGATGTAGTGCTAACCCGTAGTATATTAGCTAACCTTCCAATTCTGGTAGTATCTTTGCATGTCTGTGATGTGGAAATTCTGCATCTAACACTCATTATGAGTGATATGTTCATAAATCCTTACATATAGACAGGAAAACAGCCTTTGATTGCTCCAGTACTCATCTGCAATCTGACAGTTTCAACAGCCATCTGTGCTCATATCAGAGCTGACTGGCTTCAGAAACAGATCGGTGAAGGATTTCAGGCAGGAACAGAAATAAAATCCAAAATCCAGTGCCAAAGTCAGTTACCTTCACTTTACTAACATTACATAAGAATGTGATAAACTCATAAAACATAACACATTGAAATGTAAGATATTATATATGTGGGTAAAAAAAATCTAAGATTTTACGTTTCCATTAGGAAAGTCAAAATATTTTCCTCAAAATGCTTTTGATCTGACCACCCTGGAGTGGAGCAGGCTCTTGAGACCCAGTTCTTCCAGCTGGAAGAGATGGTTTGGGCAGTCATCTTCCAGTCAGATGAGCCAACATCGGATGGAAAATGTTTACCTTCCTGGCAAGGCATGCATGCAGGTGGGGAACTGGTCAAAGACTACTGCCACAGCTTTCAAGGTCAGCAAATGGCAGTTCCCCACCAGGCCCCTTTCACTGAGTTTGTACATAGACCTGGGAGTCTGCTGACTGTGGTCAGGGGGTCTGTGCACAGCACCATGTATTCCATTTTGCATCTTATGCTCTGCATGACCAAACAGGCTCAAGAGCTGCCTAATACTAGCCAATTTACAGAGCGTAAAGAGTATGCTAAAGGATTGGAAAAGTTTGAATGCTGTACTGTTAGGGAGGGTACTTACCATCCTCTGAGAAAAATCTGTAACCCACATACTTAATATTAAGAAGCTCTCTGGTTATTAAATCCTTTACTAAGCCTCTATTTAGTTTTCTGTTCTGTTTTCTACTGAAAATCCAATTCTATTAAAATGAAATTATTCATAGGGAAAATCTGAATTTGTAAAAAAAACTTATTCGCCTTAAGAAAATAATAAATATTTCATTTTGGATTAGCTTAACTATTTTTTTTTCTTTTGATCTATGATACTCAGTTTCAAATCAATTCAACAGTATACAAAATCGCATTTTTCTCACTTCTTTGCAGAAATGGTAGCAAATACATAACATGTCAGAGATGGCAGAGGCCTACAGTACAACATGGGGAGTACACAATGATAGATTTATAGTGGACACAGTCCATCAAATAACCAGACCCAGAGGACGAGACCAGAATTGAGAGCATTGGGCTCCAAAAAAACAGCAACATTTTGTTCTAAACTGAGGTAATGTAAAGCTTCACAGACTTTCAGCCAAATAGATCTGTTGCTTTATGAATTTGAGGGAAACAAGTTTCAGTTTTGGTGATACTGAACTGTTTTCTTTTGATAAGTTTTTAATGGCTTGGGTTAGATTTTTCTCACAGTGTCTCTTTAAGGCATAATCTTCAATTTTATTCCCACTCTGGAGTCAAAATAAATGCTAGAACTTTCCCTAGGGTAAAAAAAATCAAAGTTTCACTTACATTATATCAAAAACCTGAAGTACCTGCAGTGTTAATGTGATCTTAGACAAGCCTGTGAAACAAGGTCTCAACCACTCATTTAGGAGCCGATCATAGAAGGCACAGTGGCTGCCTTTTACATGGCAGTGAAGATTTCCAGTAACAAATTTTTGTGGGGAAGTAATGTCCACAGCCTCCTAGCCAGCAATTTGAAACACCTATAGGAAAGTAATTCTGTACATTTTAAGCTTGCTACACACTTTGGATTCAAAGCAGTTCCCAGAAGGTTTTCAATGAACCAGAAACCAAATTCCTTGAAATTTTCATATTAAATTGTTCAGTGTATTTACTTTCTCAAATAATTCAGACGTTGCACAGTCTTTCATATTATTCTATAGTTTTTACAACATCCAAAATATGACTATGATTCTAATCTTCCAACTACAGTTCTGTGCAGCGCGCTGCTCATATTCATTTTATACATAATGTGATTAAGACCATACATAAATTTCAGCATTGCAACAATCGTGTTATTGCAGTGTGAAGCAACTCCAAGAAGAATAATCTAGGACAATTCCAGTGGAAAAATGCAATTACTCTTGAATGTTTGACAGTAACGTCAATGTTTTCTTCTGCTGATATTCATGGCATTGTTTATTTGCGTTGTCTGTGCTACTAAGTCCTTTGATCACTTCTGTGTGGAGGTAAAACATTTATTATTCCAACATCTTAAACTAGATGACTGTTTTCATAATGTTTGAAACTTACGATAGCTTAAAAAGTTTGTTGGTTTATTACCTATGAAAAACTATATATTATATTCCAGCCACCGTCACAGTGGCTGGTTTTGGTGAATCAATATAAAAATGTAAATGTAAGTAAACAAATCTTGGTATATTTGGTATTAATTTGTTTCCAGAAAATTACTTCATAAAGAAATAAATAATGTAGTGATGTCTAGGAACACACCAGCTGTCAAGGGGATTCTTTTTATTATAAGATTTGTCTTATACAAAACCTTACTTAGGAACAGCTGTGACAAAGCTATTTTAATATTAATTTATTTATGAATTTTTAAGAAAGTGCTGAATGCATTAGTTACACTCACATATTTTGTATTCATCTGAAATATATTATTGACCTTCGGGATCACCAGTATTTGGGATTTCTGTTAACAGATTTGCTTCACTGAGCTATAATACCAATTCTGCTCTACTTTTTTATTGTGGTACCTCTGCATCCTCTGTGTATCTCCTTCATAGGTTAACCATATGAAGATTTATAGGCATTTGTGTTGAGAGTTTTTTAAGAAAACTTATTTTTTAAAGACATGGGTAGCTGCTTCTTAACATACACCTTGCAACTACTAACTTAATGAGGAAGCAAGTGAAAAGTAGAGTTATATGCATATAGTGACCAGAAATTTTTCAATGTACATAAACGAACAGCAAACTCTTTTCAAATTACTACATATAATGAATTCTGTTTGTTAAAAATCTAAAGAAAACAATCTATATATACGACTTACACAGTTCATACAAGTATAGCATCGTAACCATCACTTTCAGGAAAGCACATGCCAACTTTTCAATTGCAATTAGACTTCAGAACAAGCAAGGGGTCCTTTAAAAGCTGATCACTCACCTTCATGGACTTTGAAAAACTCAGGTAAACATAAAATAAACATGGTGAGTACTCCTAGAGCTAACCTGAAGAGTTCTGATTTTCTTAAAATCAAGCACATGCCACTGAAGCACTCCCATCTAGCACAGTGGTGGCAACTTCCTTCCTGGTTTAGCTTTCAGCGTGGTGTGGGCTTTATGCAAAACAACATCTATGCATTTCCTTTTTCTAATATGACTTTTTCTTTTACTCCTTGTCACGTTAAGTTGTAGAGAGAGTAGTTCTGTCCTTATGTTGGCTTGTCTGAGAATGATTCAAGTGAAACAGTGAAGATAAAATTAATTTATCAGGATGAAAATACAAGAAAACTAACGCATAGAAAACATTTCATTCATCTGGGGCAATTTTGTTTTAGGAACATCATCCCCTAATGGCCATTTTCACATACCTTCTGAACAATAATATAATCATCTTTGCGAAGAAATTTTGCTCTCCTTTGGCCAAGAAGATTGAAAAAAAAAAAAGTCAGAGCTTCACTAAAAAATAAGTCAGATGAGTCAGATATGTAGAATTTATTGTTTCATTTATATACATGTGCACTGGGGCCAGGATGTGTGCATATGACATTTAACTTCATGTATTACTGTATCTTTAAGACTTCAATAGATTGGTGATTCAATCATTACAACTTCAAGTTACTGATACGGTAAATAAGCAACGTTTTAATTCCAACGAACTGAGGATGAGATGTTCGTAGCATCATTGCTGCTCTATTCTCAAAGGACAGCAGATGTGTTGCAAATTTGTACTGTGTCTTCGGCATGTTATTAACCTTTACATCATGAGAAGTCTGGAAAGAGCCATTACTATTTCTATACTTAGTAGTTATAATTTTAAAGTTAACTTTCCAGTTAGAAAAGTGAAATCTAGATGAGACTGCAAAGAATATTTCTGGAATATTCTGTATAAAATTATCCTGGATAATGCATATGTAAAAACAATGTTTCTCAAATATCGAGCATCTAGAGTATGAGAGAATTAATTAATGCAGTTCTTTTCTGACAGAATTTTTCCTACAACCCATTAAATAGTGAGTACTGCCAAACAGAAGCAATGCCATTGAAGTTAAAATAAGAAATGTCCCATGAACCTGAAATGCCCCAAATGTTATCTAGTTGCCTCAAAAGTTGAGTAAGGCCAGGTGGAATTTAACCCACTATAGAAGGACTTTTGCTGGAGCTTTAATGAATACAAATTTGTTAACACAAAATTTTAAATGTAGCAACTTTATGTGATGAAATCAATTAAAAGAAAGCAAAATGAACTAATTTTATTTGGACACCAGGTTATAACATAAGTAGCAATTATTATAATAATACATAATACATCTGAGTTGGAAGGGACCTTTAAAAGCCATCCAGTTCAACTCCTCTGCAATGGACAGGAACAGCTACAGCTGGACCATCACTCAGAGCCACATCCAGCAGCAATACAGAAAGTCACCAGTATGACTTTAAAATATAAACTATAACCACAGCACTGTTTATATGCCATTTTAGCAAGTTAGCTCTACACTGTGAGAGACTGTGCTGCACTTAAATATCTCCCATATTATTTATACTTTCCTAGGTTTTGCTAGTGTTTACCCACCCCTTTCACCCAGTCGGAATGAAAAAGTCTTTCAGAAACTGCAGGAGGACTTTGGCAAGTAATATGCATGTCTATGCCTTTCTAAGGCATTCAGACTTTTTTCAGGCACATTTTAGCGCAGTCTCCAGTTCAGGAGAATGGCACAGGACCTGTCCCTGCACCCCAAGGACATCCTAAGCCTACACATGATTACCCCGAGACAGCTGTGTGTGTAAACGGGTGTCTGCTTGGAGTGACCACTGCAGTGAAAAGCTGGAGTTTTCCTGCTGGGGGACACTTCTGTCCACCTAGTTAATAATTTTTCCACAGCTTGAAGCAATTAGTGTCTTTGAAAACACTACTTCTCAGTGCAATTTAGTGAAAACTGAGTAAATCTTTCAGAGTCAGTCATGGCACAGGCAGACGGAGCACTCAGCCACGTAGGCTGCATGTTCTTACAAATTAGGCAATGAAAGCCCGACATACATCTGCTTCAAACACGTCCCGCCACGTTTCACCGATGATCTCGCACACCCCTAAATCAGCTTTATCAGTCAGAGGCACATCTGACTTGTCACACAGTCTATTAATTTGGAAAATTATTCTCCCTTTGGGTGGCAGAAGTCAGCGGTAAGGTGCTATGAGGAGTGCGGCAGAGGTCAGTGTGCCTGTTAAAGGGCGAGTACAGGCTGCCACAGCACTACACGGTGCCATGAGAGGAGGTTAAATGTTGTGCCTTGTGTCACTGCTGATTTATTTCAACTAAATGGAGGACGGACAGAACGACACAAATAATTCGCTGCGCTGTGTCAAAATACAGAAAGGGTACCCAGCGCGCAGGAAAAAAGGAAAACCGCACAGGCGGACCAGCGCCTCCCTTCGCCGCCCAGCCGAGAGGGGGCGCGCTGCGCCGAGGGGAGCAGCCCGGAAGCGAGGCCGCTGGCTGGGGCGGTGCGCGGGCCACCCGCTCAGGCCGGGGGGCGGGGCCTTCTGCGCGAAGTAGGCGTGGCGATAGGCCCCGCCTCTGCCGCGGGTCCGCCCCGCCCCTCCCCTCGCGTGCGCGGCCGGCCCCGGGGCCGCAGCCGCCGGAGCGCGCCCGCAGGGGAGGGGCCGGCGGCGGGGGCCCATGGGGACCCGTTAGCGGCGGGAAGCGGCCTCCCGGTTCCCGCTGCCGTCCCCGGAGCAGAGCGGCAGCGGGAGGGCGGGGGGTGCCGGGGCCTCCCTTGTGATTTTTTTTTATTATTATTATTTTTTTCTCCCTCCTTTCTTCTCTCTCCTGGCCCTTCCCGGACCGCGAGAGGTGAGAGGGTGGCGGGAGCTCGACGGCGAGGAGAGGGGGCTGGGGCTGCCGGCTGGGGGAGGAGAGAGCGCGGAGGAGGAGGGCTCCGGGGGCGGCTCCCGCGGCCGAGCGGGGAGGGAGTGCGGCGGTGCGCGGGCGGGCGGCGGTGCCGCGGCGCGCTGTGCCCCGGGCGGGGTGCCCCGGCTGGCACCGTTAGGGGCGGAGCGGCTGTCAGCCCGCTGGTGCTCCAACTTCCCGCTGTCCGAAGCGAAGACATCCAAGTGTTGTTTTCAGTAAGAGCTGCCGCTCGGGTCTTGTTACGAACGTGGATAGGGATAAAAAGCTTGAACTCGCGGTCAGGTCGGCAGCTTTTACAGAGACAAACGCTTTGTGTTGTGGGGATGCGTCACGTTGGAAAACGGATCACGAGATGTGTTCAGTGATCTTTCCCGGAACCGTCCTTTCCGTTCTTGTGAAGGTGTTTTTGCAGCAGAACTCCGGGAGGTGCACGCAGATAAAGACTTTTTTAAAACACAAAAAGAAAACAAAGCAAAAAAAAAAAAAAAAGGAAAAGGAACAACAAAGCTTGAACTTCAGAGATGCATTCCTGATAGCGGAGATCACATTTCCAACTTCACGCTTTTCCTGTTTTCTGTTTGCCGAACAATGTTAAGCAGCACAATGGAGGACAGACCCAAACTGATGGCAGTAACCCTCAGCTGAGGCAGTGCTTTCATCTGCCGCCCTTCAGCATCATCAGACTGTCTTTTGAGGACGTCTGTTGGAAGGACAAGTCTGCTGCTGGACCCTGCCAGCATGTAGATTTTAAAACGTTGTGTTAGAAAGGCAGTGAATATGAATATAAAATCAGAAGAAAATCCACAGAGATTGAAAAAAATCTTGCCTTAAACTGTTATGGTTCAAGCTAATTGCAAACTGTTGCTAACTGGTGACGCACACTGGATGAAGCTGTGCCAATTCTTTGGCTCTAGATCCCCAGTATCAGTAGTTCTGATACTCCATGCTAGTATTGATGTAGTTCAGTTGTGATAAGGGAAATTACTGAAATGGACAAAACATCACCCAATAATGTGAGATATCTCAGCTTTTAGGAAATTGCTGTGTTTCCTTTACAAAAAATAAGGTGTAGGTTTGCCTCCTCTTTATCAGCCAGATTTCCCTTTTATTACAGCTAAATGGCGGAGCGAATTAATTGCAAACCTCGCTATCCACTATTTGCTTTTTTTCTGTGGGAACAAAATTGTTGTTAAATTTTCATTCAAAATAACCAACGAAGCAACTGGAGATCATAAATATTTGTATTAATCGGCTGCATGGCCTTAACAAATGCAACCATGTAGAAGTGATGAGGTTATGGGCTCCAGGTGGGTTCATGTTACTGTTCTCACAGCTGGAAGGTCCTTGCACCTGGTAGGAAAGATCAAACTGTTGAAGGTCAGATATTAGATACCACATTATGCATAGGTGCCTTACAGGGATGTTTTCTTTCTTCTTAAAGTGACTGTGGTCACTTTGATTCAAAAAGTGGATGCATGCTGTCTCAGCAGGCTGGATTCTTCCTGGAGCTACAGCTAGGCAAAGTAGTGAAAATGTACTAAAGTTATTTTAAAAAAATAATTATAATTAATCTTGTAATGCAGTGTTTCTTGAGAGTTTTTGTATTCAAATTTCATTCTCATTCCTCCTCTTTCTTTGAACAGTTTATTGTATATGTAATTTATGTAAATTCTGGAAGGATCTGAGGTGACAGTTGCTCAATGGCACACTTTAATCTCTTTCAGGTTATGAACTGAGGGACAAATGAAAGTTCTGACTGAATAGAATAGGCAGTCTGTTCTCAAGATTTTTTCAGTGCCTTGTTTCTGATTTCTTCTCACTGTTTTCTGTCCGTAGATTATTTTCTGCCTACCTCATCTTCTTGGAAGGAGGAAGACAAATGGAACTACATGATTCTGTAAACACCTAGAGATCATTCTGGTGTTGTAGGTAATTATTGTACTTACTCAATTCCAGTATTGAATGATGCTACAATGAATATGAATTCATCCACAAAGGATTTGGGCCTTCTTGATTACACCTTCATTAAGTTTTGTACTGCGCATTTCTGATGAGTGTGCACAAGCAAGATTTGACTTTGCTTTGCTTTTGTGGACTCAGATTCTAATGTTTGGAGTGTTTGCATTTATTTTTATCACTTACCATGTCTGATGTTTATCAAAACATGCTTTATAGAAGACT